TGTCACACATCGTCACAAATGTCTGACCCCTCCCCCCCCTAGGTGCGTGACGTCATTTATGGACGGCCCCTATGATACCATGAAAATGACTTGAATTCACTTTTGTTTGCCATTTAATAAAAATCACTAAAATCGTACCACTTCAGGTGGTATAATTTTTCCTATGTTCCATGGAATACCGTGTGTAACTCCGCCTATTCAGATGTCACTCAATGCGTCAGTCTCCAGGGAATGCGTGTTGCACGACCCTGGTAATTGGTTGCTGGAAACTGAAGATACTAATCGTAATCAATAATTATTGCAGTCAGCACCACATTCACGCCGCAACCATCAACACTAATATCATAATTACTGTGAGGCCTTCCATTTTCATAACCATCAATATCATCGATTCCATCATGATAACTCATGTAATTGCCACCACTACCCGCAGCGTCATATTCACAACAATACTTTTCACCACCATCATCACCAACACCATGTGGATGGTGACATGGCGTTAGCAGTAGCGTCTTCGCCGCTTGTTGATGAGGGTCAGTTCCAACTCAGCGGTTCCCCCGATTATATTATTACTGCTGGTGTTGTAACCCAAAAAATATACGTGCCGTCTGCTTCAAAGTGGACGTCGTAGGCCTGTGACGATATTCACAACAGTAGGCCATTGTGTGGCAGTGTCGTAATCCAAATAAAAAGATACTTGCAATGGACTCAATTGGGATACACATTGCAATCATTGCCCCGACTGTAAAATCCATAAAATGCATCACAAGACTCGGCGAGGTTTGCCTAGTTAAACGAGCGTCAGTGTCCACAATCATCTCTACCATGATCACACCTGCCCGGCCATCGCTGCACGAGTTCTCCAAGGACTTGCCCGAGCACGCCACTTGCCCTGGACAATTGAGAGACAGCCACTCGTCAATTAAGGGGGCATTCGTTAACAGTGTGTGTGCGAGGGCACGTCACATTCTCTCCATACGCCTCCAAAACATCCCCCAGTCAAGACCAACTGTAGGATGCGCTGCTATCACGAAACATCTCTCAGAATCAGAAGTTTATTATCCGAGTAAATTGCCCATTGAGCTATACAGATCTTTTTATAAGGGTGACTCGGTCCGGCAGACAGACACGGCTGCAGCAAGAGTTAATAATCAAGATATAAAATATTAAAAAATATTAAATAAATAAAAACTAATGATCTTACGAAATAATTAAGTACATTCGCATTTGTATTGTTTCGATCTCTATAATGTCTCCCTCGGCGAACGGCAATCGTTTTGCCATCAAGTTTCTGCAACGATGCATTAGGTTCACTTGGTACTTAGTGTATCCAGGCGGGAGTGCCAGAATTAATTCCCTTTTGCAAGGCAAACCTGGCGCAATGCAGATATATTCTGCAATCTTCACATTTGTTGAACTGTTACTTAAATGCGTTATATTTTATTTACCAATGCATTGTTTTTAACAATACATTCTGGTTAGTTTTCTATATATGTAGTGACTGTGAATGTCAGTGCGTGGTGCCAGGCGTCTTTCCGACAGACCTGTCTTTCCGACAGACCTGTTCTTCACCTGAGGACGGCTGCTTGCGTTGTGGCCGAAACGTCGTGAGAATTGTATTTTATTATGTTTTATTTTTAATATTTTATTATTTCCCTTCTACGTGACTTTACCGAAAGAACCAAGATGAATCTCTGCAGTCACGAAAGCTTTAAATCGAAAATTGTGGAGCTGGTTGAGTCTCTGGTGAAGAACTACGGCACAATGGGCTGTAGGATGTCCGTCAAAGTCCATATCCTTGATGCTCATCTTGATAAATTTAAGGAGAACATGGGAGCGTACTCGGAGGAGCAAGGCAAGCGCTTCCACCAGGATATACTGGACTTTGAACGCCGCTACCAAGGACAGTATGACGAGAACATGATGGGAGACTGCATTTGGGGGCTGATTCGTGAATAGTGATTTACAGTATAATCGTAAATCTCAAAAAACTACTCACTTCTAAATCTTTTGTAGTCATTTTTGTATTACTTTAGTATAAATACATGTTAATTTTGATTCATGTTATTTTTGCTGACTTTATATGAACGAAAAGACACAAATTCACCTGTTTTCTCATTGAAAATAGGTACATTTCTAAATATCACTGTCCTGGTCATAAAAGTAAAGTTTGAGGGGAATAATAGCCAATTTATATACTGTTGAGGCATAAGCAATTACAAAATAATACTCACTACCCAGGAACAAAAATTGTGTTACATATTGGAATCATAGAAAGGCCTCTCAAGCAGTCGGTGTGGATTTCCGAAAGTCTGGAAATCGTTTGCGATGGTCACTGATAACACTATGTAATACGAGTTTTGTCCCTGGGTAGTGTTATTAAATCCTTTATATTAAGTTCGCTTGCTTGCTTAGGACAGTGCAAATCTTTCGGTCGTTTTTTAACCCACTTCCCGTGATCCAATCGAGCTGACATTTTCCACACAGACTCGTTGTGCGTGACAATTAATGTTCGTGAAAATGTTTTTCCTAAATTTTACACTTTTTAGGACAAAAATATTATATTTAATTACCAATTGCTTAATGGTGCAATGCAATCATCTGACCCATAGGTGGCAGCCATCTCAAGCCAGAGGACGAGAGGACTCTAGCCGCCACGCATATAAAGGATTTATAGTGAAAAACTTAGTTTTTACTGGTTATACTTATTTTTTTATTTCGTATGCCTAAAACGTATAGAAAAGTGCAATTATTCCCCACAAACTTTGCTTTTCTGACCAGGACTATATTTGAAGGAATGACACAAATGCACACATTTTCTCATTGAACCGGATCACGCGAGGTATTTCCCGGTATGGGGGGACTCTCCCTTGCATAGGGGAGGGGATCCGAGGGAGAGGAGGTGTTGGGGCTAAGGGCCTGGGAGAGAAAGGGGAATTAAAGGTGTGCCGATTGCGGGGGTGGAGGAGCACCCTGCTGTGTAAGGTGTTGCCGATTCACCAATGGGGGGCGCCGTGCTGTGTAGAATGTTGCTGATTCACCGATGGGGGGCGCCGTGCTGTGTAGAATGTTGCTGATTCACGGATGTGGGGCGCCGTGCTGTGTAGAATGTTGCTGATTCACCGATGGGGGGCGCCGTGCTGTGTAGAATGTTGCTGATTCACGGATGTGGGGCGCCGTGCTGAGTAGAATGTTGCTGATTCACCGATGGGGGGCGCCTTGCTGTGTAGAATGTTGCTGATTCACGGATGTGGGGCGCCGTGCTGTGTAGAATGTTGCTGATTCATGGATGTGGGGCGCCGTGCTGAGTAGAATGTTGCTGATTCACCGATGGGGGGCGCCGTGCTGTGTAGAATGTTGCTGATTCACCGATGGGGGGCGCCGTGCTGTGTAGAATGTTGCTGATTCACCGATGGGGGGCGCCGTGCTGAGTAGAATGTTGCTGATTCACCAATGGGGGGCGCCGTGCTGTGTAGAATGTTGCTGATTCACGGATGTGGGGCGCCGTGCTGTGTAGAATGTTGCTGATTCTCCGATGGGAGGTGCCGTGCTGTGTAGAATGTTGCTGATTCACCGATGGGGGGCGCCATGCTGTGTAGAATGTTGCTGATTCACCGATGGGGGGCGCCGTGCTGTGTAGAATGTTGCCGATTCACGGATGTAGGGTGCCGTGCTGTGCAAAATGTCGCCGATTCACGGAAGTGCGCGCCGTGCTGAGTAAGATGTTGCCGATTTGCGAGATTGGGAGCGTCGCGTTGGGTTGAGTGTTAAGTTGGTTAGCAGGGGGCACCGGGGTGGTAGCGAAGTGTGCCGTTGATTCGCGGGGGGGGGGGGGGGGGGCACCGCGGTTGTAACGGGATTGTGGGAATTTTTTATTCCTTCGTTGAGTTGACATTAGGAGTGTTCATTGAGATTAGGGGGTTGCTCTGCCTGTCCACCAGTTGCGGCTGCTGTATTGGCAGCCGGGACGGCTGTTTTTTTAACGAAGGGGGGTGATGTAGTGACACAGCGCCGACTGCTGTACAGCAGCAGCAACTGCAGTGGACACTTAGCGTACACGCCGTTGAGCATATACACGGGTGTGTCGGCAGGGCAGAGGAACTGGGGCAAGTGTTACGGTAGACCTTATAGGGAGGCTCCTGGAACCCTCTGGTGGGTTCAAGAAGGGAGGCACAGCGAGGGCGGAGCCAAGCTGCACGGAAGGGAATATCAGCAGCGGAGCGCGAGAGCTCTGGACAATGTGTGCGCCGCATGCCACACGCACGCCTCGGACACTACAGTATTTACCGACTGTAGTAGTAACTACTGACTGTATAGTAGTATCTACTGACTGTAGTGCTGTCTAATGACTACAGTAGTATCTGACTCTATAGTAGTATCTACAGCCTCAATAGTAGTATCAACCGACTCTATAGTAGTAGTAGTACACTTGCACTGTTTTTTTATTTGGTGTTTTGTATACAACTGTTACATACCCCGTTTGTTATTGTGCAATATTCTTTTAGGATCTATTAACTCATTCTCTGCAATACTGACGTTTTTGTCTGTGTTTTTGTTAATGTGCTCATGCACCACAGATCTCCCTTGTAAAATATCTGGGCAAAGTGGCTTGGCTATGTACGGTGCGAAAGAAGTTCAACACATATACATATATTCTTTGGGTCTTTTGGTAAAGTCATGTAGATAGGTTCAACCTATCTACATGACTTTACCGCAGTATTAATCAGAACGTCTGCTAAGATTCAAACAGTGAACCCTCTGCAATAAACGGCAAACATGTTACCGCTATGGACATGTCATAATCAACTTCATCCCGAGGTAAAAATATACCAAGGAAATTTTTATAATTCAGAACCAGTAAATTTTAGGCAAACATGAGACTTAATGACTAATCCACTTGACATTTTATAACAAAAATATGAATCCGGTGATAAAACCACTCGGGTGGTAATTTCCCAGATGCAATCACAACTTAGCTTATGACAAAGAAGAGAATGAGGTGTTATATTTGTTAACTTTATTTAGCAACTGTTCAATCAACATATTCACAAAAGTGGTATGCATAAACAAGAATAGCAATGAATGAACTGTATTGAAAAATTAAAATAATGAACTGACATCCCTCGGGATAAAACAAACACTGATGTGCTTCCACAACTGGCAGTCAAGGGAAGAGTGTGTGCTGGGGCAGAATGTTCAGCTGGAAAGTAAGAGTGGGTGGGCGCACTGGCAACAAGAGACAACCTTGGCAATCGAATAAGGTTGGCAATGCCTGTTGCATTGTTCCTGCGGGCGGAGCGAGGGTTTACGCGATAAGACGTGGCCGGGTTACAGAACGAATGCTTTGTAAATGCGTGCGACAGCTTTACACGTCAACCGAGTGAGATGTGTCCAACACTAACTCGGAATTGGGACTTCTCCACGTACCACAGGGAGTTATCAGGTAAATTAAGATTTCTGCTTTAGAGAAAGAGAGCAGAGCTCCAAGCCCTCTCCCCTCCCAGGCTGAGATGTGCTGCTGTCGCCTCTCTTGTTCATGTTTCTTCCAAGCAACACATACAAAACTTCAGTGAGCACCGGCTGGTTCTTGCCACTTCCCCTTGCCAGGCATGGCTAACACAGAGGCAAGCTAGTGCTCCGAGCCGGCTGCTGTTACATTCAGGCTGAAATCCTCAACAAAGGCTTGTGCAGGAAAGTGGCAAAGCTCACAGGCAAGCTTCATGGCTCTGCTAACCGATGGACATTACCTTATTCATTCTCACATGTGACCAAAACAGGCTGCACCAAACTCTTTGGTTCTTTCGGTAAAGTCACGTAAGTAGAAAAATAATAGATCACGACGTTTCGATCGCAACACAAGAAATCGTCATCAGGTGGGACAATCACTATTATTCTTCTACCTACGTGACTTTACCAAAAGAATCAAAGAGTATGGATTCCTGCAGTCAAGAAAGCTCCAAATCAAGGCTGCACCAAGTAAGACTCAGACACTTTGGCCAACCCAGGTCATGTTTGAGAAGTCATTGTGTGCCAGACGTGGCCACGTTGTGGTTGCATCGCATCAGCACGGCTGCTGAAGTTGAGGATCTTGCTTGATTCTCTCTCCATCGGGCATGGGTAGTGATGCCGTTGGTTTGCGGGTGGCCAAGGCCGGGTTGCAGGAAACAAGGGCGTTTCACTGAGGTGGTGCTCATCGCCGCGCCATTGCCTGAGCGACGTGCACCAGTGCGGAGAGAAGCTCACCGTGCGCCTGCAGTAGCAGAGGCAGCGGCGTGGCCCTCAGCTCTTCGCTAGGATTATGGTGCGTCAGCGCTGACACCGCCGTCAAGAACCCCGTGCCCGCTGCAGAGACAGGAGCGCCTGGGGCTTCAGCTCTGCTCGCCTCCTCGCTCAGCCCATTCACCAGCGCCTTGGAGTCTACTATGTTGGAAGCAACATAGAAAAAGACACAATGCCAACATCCTCAGTCAAGAACTAGCCAAACATCTCAGGGCAGGCTCCGAAAGTGGTTCACAAAAAAACTCAACTTATTTGTCGAAACAATGTTTAACTCAGTGAGGATTATATATATTTTTTAAAAACACTGACATGGCGCTGGTGGCACGCATGATAATTATAAATACTTTTATGCTTTTGATTTGTGTCAGGGGTAATATTTCTGCATTTTAAATCAGCTTAAACTCAGGTTTATTTTCCATCAGAGAAAATCTCAGCAAGTTCTCCTAGGCAGAGAATTTGAACTGATTATTCTTATTTATTAATAAGAATTTGGAGAATGGAAACAAGAAAACGTTGCATAACACAAGAGCTCTGTATATCACGAAATGATAGCAATGCTTTAACACGTAGGCTTTCGCGACCAATATCATCCTCAGAGTTTTTTTTGGGTTAGATCGCGTAAATATATAAATGAGTCATTAAAACCCGCCACCACCCGACAGAGTCAACTGGTAAGGGTTGTCACGTAAACAGAACGTGCCAATTCGTCACTAGTACAGCACACCGGTGTGTTGGAGAGCCAAGCCACAACATTTACAAACGGAGTACGATGTTTCGCCAGGAATTACAACCAGCTTCATCAGGCAACAGCCAGATTTGTTTTCTGATGGAGCTAGTTGTAATTACTGGTGAAACATTTAAATGATTAAGACGATTTACATTCGGTGGCTGCTACCGTTTTTCTTATATGGCCTCAATCCAAAGACTTTTTTGACTGTCCCCTCATCAGGGTTGAGAGAGGAGATAAACACTGGCTTCAGGGAGAGGTCACCTTGGTCGTCGGGAGGCAGCACCAGCGCCATCTCCTGCTCCGTGGCCCCTGGCCCCTTCTACAAACCACAATAACATCAACCACCACCATCATCATCCTGTTTAGAATGCGGATCTCTGGGCAGCAGAGAGCAAGCACTGAAAGCGAACCCACATTAAAGTCACATCATTTGGTGATACAGCCTGTTCTCCTATAACGGCAGGAAGAGGTTGTGTTCCTGAAGAACACAACGTGATGGGAAAAATGGCGTTATAATAATTTTATATATAATATAGGGATGAACAAAGACTAAGGCGTGTGGTGGGTAGCATCTAGAAGCATCCGGCAGCATCCCGCCGTACAACAGCTTATTCCTACTCGCGCGACATATTTACTTTCACTGGATTGTGTTCCCGAATATATTCATCGCGTTCTATCCAATTAGTGTGATGAAAACACGCGTTATAGGAGAACAGACTGTACTGCGTTTGCAGTCGTGCACGAGCATAAATAACAACAAAACGCAAAATATTTATTAGTAACTTATAAAAGTCCCTTCGGTCCAAATATTTATTGAGTTTCTCTAATCCGGTTGAAATGATCATTTGGCCCAGGAATGCATCACTAAGCAGATGATGTTAATGATGGTTCTGTTGGCCTCACTATAACAGCATACCAAAAACGCAATGTGCCAGGAACATAAACATTTACTTTGAATCCAAATGAGCTTATTGAGTGACACATTGTTGATCATTGCAGAGTTTGCCTGTTCATCAAAAGCTACTAATAAGCACCTATTCAAGTGCTAACTAAAACAAAAAAGTTCGAAAGAAACTCTATTCTAATTTTATTATCATCATGCCCCACGGTGTAAAGTGCAGCATCCAACAGTTATCTACTGTCTCCCTGGCCTCTCTATGTTCCATGAAGAAAGTCTATAGTCCGAAAACGTCGCCTGCAATATATTTATTCCTATTAAGGTCAGCAGAGTGGGGTGGTGGTAGTGAAAGCAGGAAACAACACCAGTCCAACCCCCCCCCCCCTCCCCAAAGTACTTATATGTTACATATAATTAACCTTGAGGAGCTTAAAGCCCGATTAAGAGACTGATCATTGCTGCTAACGCTGTGTGTGGGAAATGACGCCCAGCCACTGGAGTCATGGTAATGTTGTTGCTGACCCACCCACAGGTCTGCCCCTTCACGCCCACACATGCATAGTATTTAAACCATACAAACTATATTTTAGCAGGTAAGGCCCACTAAGCTATAGAGATCTTTTTCAGAAGCGACCTGGCTACAAATAATAGCTCAACGAAGTGGCTTATCACGTGGAAATGAACACCAGCCAAATACTCTAAAAGCATGTTTCTAAACGTGCAGGATAAAACTGGAGGACCAGGATACAAAACCACGCGACCAAAGGGAGAACATGCAAACTCCAAATGTACAGGCGTCAGGGTTGGGTTTGAACTCACAACCTCCTGTATACCATGAGAGGTAGTTAACATCTCGCCACCATGGCATACACACACACATCACTGTCTGCTTCACCCGTTTTGCTTAATTCCCTGAATCTATATTGCACAGGGGAACAAAGTGCCAATTAGCACTTACGTACACTTTAATGTATTCAAGCAATGAAAACAAAACAAAGGAAGCCAATTATAGCATTTCGAGTAATGTTCCCATTATCAACCCTCAAAGAGATTTTACAAACTAATGTATTGTATTATTGCGCCATGGCTGATGATGCTGTGAAGACTACTCCTGGAGTGATTGGGCATTTCCAATTTAAAGCCAAGAGTGACTATTATGTCAAGAGAGAAGGATAAGTGCATTAGAAATATAACGTTATCTATATATCAGTACAATAGGCACTATATAGCTGTTTACTGTACCTTAATTGTAATTGTACTATGATTAGCTTAAACATAACCTGTCATAGCCAACTTATGCTTAAGCCAATTTGTTATTTAGCACCGATGCAGATTTGTGCAATATTTACAATGTCTCGTGTGAAAAGGTTGTTTTTGCAGGGTTTTCGATTTTCTTCATTGATGTACTTTGTCTCGCTTTTGTAATTTTGGTGACAGATCACTCTCCCAAACTGGACTATCCTGGTCTCTTGACCTCTCAATTGCTTAAACAAATAAAATGTAATTTGATTGGCGATGGGACACCGACTACCTACACGTAGTCTATACACCATCGTTGTAAAGCCGAATCATTATCCCTTCACTAGTTAGCTTCTGCAGTGGTTAACACAATGCACTTTGAACCCGGTGACTGAAATTCAATTCCCGGCAAATAATTTGGGGTGTATTTTTCACATTTGGCAACGTTTTACCATGGTGCCAGCACTAAAATGGCCTACTTTTTCTTCCAATGTCACGGGATCTTAAATATACATTGTGGAACAGACCGGAGGGGGGGGGGCTATTTTACGGTTAATTGGGCAGAAGGATGGCACAGTAGTAACACTTGTCTCAAAGCACGAATATCCGACGTTCGATTCCGGACTTGGGGCCTTTCTGTGTGGAATTAGTATGTTCTCCTTCTATTCTGGATCTTCTAATTTCCTCCAATAGAAAAAAACAAGTAAGTGGTATTGGCCAAACAGCCCTATGCTTAGACATTTCCTGACAATTACTCAATTGGCATCATTACCTCCTCCTGAGAAAACTTGGTAGGTCTATGCTGAAAAGAGTGTTGATACTCGGTCAGGCTTTCCTGGGAAAGCTTACAGAATGCATCCACAAAATTAATCAGAGTTGCGGCTAGGTTCCAACCACAAACCTGTGCAAATCAGCGGATGTGCAACCGCTGGGCCATGTCACCAAAATACCGGCCATCTCATCTCCCTCTAAATGCCCACGAGTCGATGGGCTGCAGCAGGACCAGTCTCATCAACATCACCACCACCACCAATAAAAGGAAAAAAAACAAGGTTGCACCTGCTCATGGAAAATCTTCAGCACTCTGTGCAGCGTGTGAAGCTTGGGTGAGCGGATGGGGAGGGAGTGCAGGTCTGCGGCGTTCAGTGCCGCCAGGTCGCCCACGGTGCTGATGGAGCGCGCTCGCACCAAGTGGCCTAGCCCACGGGCCCTGCACACAACACACACACACACGCGCACGTGTCAAGACAAAAAAATATCCCGTGTGTAGCTGTTCACACCGTTGGGTAAAACTATAACTATAAAGCCTCATTGAGTTTCACGACTATGTTTCAGGAAGGATCCTGCCATGTCGCAGTAGGGAGCGATGGTTGCCATGTATGAATAAAATCGATTTAAAAAAATGTATACGGAACATTTTGAGCACAATGTCGGAATATAATGGGCCTACCCTTGCGGATGACATGACCGTGAAGCATAGCCTTCGGGAGTATAGTACAGTACAACAAAGGATTTCGCTAGACATGTATTATTTATTGTAAAATAATATTGGTCTGCCTCAGTCCACTGAGTAGTAGGTTCAACACAGTCAGTTCTGAATCCCTCGCTGGTCTGAGATCACGTCTCGTGAAGTTTCATAACAACATCCACTTGTTCAAAATGCAGAACTAACTTAAATGGAAACTTTCCTATCAACTATGTTTATTTTACCAGGTAAGGCCCACTGAGTTATATAGCTCTCTTTCAGAAGTGACCTGGCCACAAATGATAGCTCAACAAAGTGGATTATCACATGGAAATTTATATCAGCCAAACACTCTAGTAAAGGCATGTTTATAAATGTGGAGGGGAAAACCAGAAGATCTGCAGAAAAACCCACGCAACCACGGGGAGAGACATGCAAATTCCAAACATACAGGCATCAGGGTAGGGATCGACGTCACAGCCTCCTGTATAGCAGGCGTGTTAGTTAACATCTTGCCACCGCGGCGCTCTGTGATACACATGGTTGTGGCACTGTGCGATTGTATATGTGTAACAGGACTGCTGTACATGTGGCCGTGCCAATAGTTAACACTGGCCTCACCATATCGCCGGCGTGAGCTGGTGCAGCACGGCCTCCACTGGAGTTTTACAGCCGATGAGCGCGGGGAAAATGGGGCCCACGCTCTGCACGGGAACCACTTCCAGTGGCTGGGACAACATGGTGCACAGCTGTTCCTGCTGAGGATGCACGGAGCAGTGAAAGCGTGGAAAGTCATGCTGCGCAACGCACATAGCAGCAGCACAGCCAACCTGGCTGTAACTCGAAACCCGATGAGACTTGGCACATCAAAACAAGGTAGGGGGCAAGTAAGGGAGCAACAAAAATGCTTTCGACACAGCTTGGCACAAGGACGTGGCACTCATCTCTAAGGTCGTCTTCATGAACCGTAAATTAAAGCCCCACATGCCTAGCTACTAGCCATGTTGCTTGCTGTACTATTTGGACACTTGGTTATCAAGTCAAGTTTATTTATTTTCCTAGGTTAGAACTCAAGAGACCATGATTGTCTCATTTGCAAGTGGCCTATGTCACGATAACGACAAAAAAAGTCAGGGAAAAAATAATGGCAACAGGAGAATCGGAAATATTGCAAACATAAATCAATGTTAAATAAAATATTCCCTGTAATGTAAGTTGGTTCAGGCAGATCATTTTATCACTGACCATCATAAGAATTACAATTAAGTTACAGACACATACCAACTATAATCACCCAGGAATGTCCTTAATGCTCGTGACGTCACTCCAAATCGACCATCCCCCCTCATTAATATTCATGAGCAAGTGACGTCCTCCAAATGAACACGCCCCCCACCCCTCATTAATGAGCGGGTGATGTCAGTCTGCACGGAGAACCCCCCCTCATTAATAATGAGCAGGTGACATCACTCCACATCAAACAGTCCCCCTCATTAATAATCATGAACAGGTGACGTCCTCCAAATGGGCTACCCCCCTCAATTAATAATAATTAGCGAGTGACGTCACTCCACGTGGGGGGTCGATGCGCCTCCTCCCACCTCCTCGGCGTCAACTGACAACCCTCACCACAAAGGCAGAACCCTCACGTCACGCGATCTCCGTAACGCTCTTGAGACATCAAAGTAAAAAGGACGTCATGATGAACAAGGGATTATAACCTTAAAATGAAACAGGTCTGTGTCACCCCGCCCTTACAAATTGCACACGAATTCATACAATGAATATCAGTCACGGTCTGCTTTTCGCTTGCAAGTTTCACATTTACTGCAATACACCGGCCTTGGACGGGCAAAAGGCTAGTTAAACAGAAATAGAGTTACTATTGTACAAATATGTAAACAACAATCTGCCACTCCTACTGGCCGACGATTTTTTTGTGTAATTTACAATGCCTCTAGTACTTCGTCGAAATGCGCTTTATAAATGTAATTCATAATTATTACACTCACTCGCCTGCTGTATTCCCTAACACTCCCTGCCACCACACTACCGCCCCTGGCACTCCCTTGCTCTCTCCATTGCCACTGCCACTCCTCCACTCACCAGCCGCTTCTTGGGTGGGGTGTTTCCGAGAGCACGACGAGAAAGGGGCCGCCGGCTCATCGGGGAGGTCCGCGTCGGAGTCAAAAGGTGCTGTGCAACACACACACACGCACAACTGTCACCATAGATGGGGGCTCACAACCACCTGTGTGCTGGTGTGGGCAATGCGGAGCCAGGATTTTCAGGTGGGCGGGGGGGGGGGCAACCCCTCCAGCAATGAAAAATTATAGTTGTTAGTAAGTAAGGACTTATCCCTTGCTTTTTATTCGACGCGTGTGCAGCGATGATGCAGCCATCGATCGAGGGTCGAATTCATACCGTGTGTGATGGGCATCGCGCTCGCTGAAGGTGTTTGCCTTCAGGGAAGTCGTGTACTGTATACGCAACTGCGCACAATTCTGCGAGTCACTTGTAACTGCTTTACCATTACTTATTGCCAATTATGGACTCGGACTATTGTCCTATCATCTCACAGAGTCCCTGGCACGTAATAATATGCTACACAGTGGCAGTGGGGGTCGCCGAATCCCGATTTATTACTAATAAACACCAATGATCTGATCGAAATTAGGGATTTCGATCAGATCATTGCGGGGGGGGGGGGGGGGCGCACGTACCACCCCACCCCCCCCCCCCCCACTGGCTCCGCCAAGCAGTTGCCCTCTAACAACAACGGAGAGCAGAAGAGTGCAGCTCACAACAACGAGTGGAGCATTGGGCGGCTAAAATACAACAAAAGTTGACACAGTCAGGGGCACAGGTGGTGCATCTGCCAGTCATCTCAGTCAACCCATGGCACCTGGGTCTGTCCCGTGACCTCCTGCCAGTGAGCTTTCCATTCTTCAGGTGGCTTCAAAGTGTACCTAGTCTGGCACAAGCGTCATGGTGACGTAACCGCCACCGAGTGGCGAATAGCGGTTGTTATCCGTGTTCGTACGTACCTGTGTGAACGTGCGGGACTGGCTGCGGCTGGGACTGCGGCGGTCGATGTCATCTGCCAGCGTTTCGTGCCGGATGGGGTTAGCAAATGACACGCGTCGTGTCTGTACACATACACACAGAGACATGCTGCCATGTTTAAACTAAAGTAAACAAGTCAAAGCGTCCCCCTGTTGAAACAAGCGTCGTGCAAAGCACATCTCTGTTAGCGATTGTGAGATGCCGGAAATTCCACGTAAATGGTGGCACCAAATTCTCCTTATAACAACCGCTGTTGGGCATCCCACATGTAATGACCATGGAAAAGTGATGGACTGAGTCGATGCATTAGCAGGATCTGAATAATTCTAGATTTGAAGCTTTCGTGACTGCAATGATTCATATGATTCATATTCTTAGGATCTGAATATTCCACTCTCTTAACTGGCAGTAATAGGATGTTTTTTGTGACGCAGGTCTCACCTTGTTTGGTGGAGAGTCTGACGGCAGCTGCTCAGCCTCCGACTTCATGCCCGCTGCCTTCTTGAGGATGCTGGGGGATGGGGATGCAGCTGGGGACCACGTGCCTCTTGCTGCGACCGGCGGAGGGCTGCTTGCCCTCTGGGCGATGTCTCCGTTCAACCGCATAAGAGTGCTGCACCCTGGTGAGGCTGGAGCCTCCGTAGTTTGGGCTGCAATGTCCTTTTTTTTCTCCTCCTCCTCCTGTTGCCCCTCCTCCATCTTGCTGTCACCCATGTTCCTCTTCTCCTCCCCCGACACTTTCTGCTCTCCTCCTGCCACTGCCTCAGTCACCGTAACCATCACCTCCTCGCATACGGCACTGACCAAGGGCTCTGCTGGGGAGGCCCTGCTGGAGTTGATGATCTCCAGCTCGCTGCCATCCTCCCCAGGCAATATCTCCTGGCCCTTGGGATTGCTCTCTTCTGCTGGGTTCTCCTGAGCGGTCAAGATTGGTGATGCTGTCTCCTTGCTCATCTCACTTGAAACGACACCAAATTCTTCCTCCACAAATCCGCCTTCGGTTGGCACGGAATGAGATGCGGTGGCGATTGTATCAATTGTGTCGGGATCCGCTCCACATGAGAGAGAGGTGGAGGCAGCACAGTCACTCCCTCTGGAGACCAGCAGCGAGGGAGAGGGGGGCAGCATCACATTGTCCGGCTGTTCCCTATCTACAACTTGAGACGTCTTCCCCTCGTCATCTCCTGCATTGACAAACTCTGTTTCGGGGTCTTGCTCCTTGGCTTTAAAATCAGACGTGGCGATACAGTTCAAATCTATAACCGATTGTTCCTGAGCAGCGCATTCCATGGTGTTTTTTGTTTCGCTGAGCCGTGGAGATTCTTCAGGCCCCACCTGATCACTCACATTATACTCCTCCTCCCCATCCTCCTCCATATCCTCCTCCATCTTCTCCTTGGCAGTCCCTTCCTCCATCTCATCCTCAACATTCTTTAGTAACTTTGTATCCTTCCCGCTTCCTTTTTCTCCTTCAACTGTTCTATGCGACAGTTGCGAATCTGACTCGGTGATGGCATCTCCACAAAGCCTGGCGCAGGCTTTGCCCTCCAATTCACAATCGTCTATGTCGCTCACAGCGGCTCCGCCAGCTGCTGGGTTTGACTCTAGGGCGGACGCCACGGGCATCGAGCTTCTCCTCTTCATGGAGACATTCTCCCAACTGTACCTTCCGCAGCCCCAGCTCTTCCTCTTCCTCTGGGACCGCCTCAGAAAGTTGCTCAAGCCGAGCTTAGTCTCCAAATGTGAGCTACCCGAGAGGACGAGCTCCGAGCACAAAACACTTGTTTCTGCAGATGCCGATGTCTCCGTGGGTTGCGGGTTGGTGTCCACAGCTGTGTTTTCCCTGTCCAAGATTCCGGCTGCTCCATTGTCCCTCGTCACACCTGCACTCTGCTCACTCCTCTCGAATGCAGTAAGCGCTTTCTCCCCATTCGTTGGTGTGCGCACCACATCGCGTACAGAAATACGGACACTCCCGTTTGCCCACCCAGAGTTTACCTGCCCACCTGGGATGCTCACCAAATTCACCCTCCTCTTCTTTGGCTCTCCACTTAATTGGATCCGACCGTCAGAACTAGTCGGTCTGCTAGGGCTGGCCTGTGGGCTGAACACAGTACTGTCACCGCTGGTGCCATTAATCTCCTCTTCCGTTGCCACCGCTGCAGTGTCACTTGTTTCTGTTACACCATCTCCAACATTTGAGCTGGAGGAGCCGTCCTTTGCTTGACTACTAGATTGTTTACCGGAATTGAAGACCTTGAGCAGGCTCAGTGCAACTATTGGTGAAGGAGATGAGGACTCTTCAACCGCAGATGAGATCGTGGGGGATTCTGCCATCATAGGAGTGGATGACTTTACCACTGCAGAGAAATATTTGGAGGATTCTTCCATTTCAGAAGAAATCATAGGGAATTGTTCAACTGGAGCAGCAACAGGTAACTGTGCCACTACAGGAGAGGTCGTGGCAGGTTGTGAAACCACGAGGGAAGACACAAGAGATTGTTCTGCTGTAGTGGAGGGTGTGCTGTTGTTGGTGCTTAGCATGGAGATCTGCGACAGCTTTAGCTGTCGCCCCCGGATTGCTTTGCTGCGAGGAGTGTTGAGGTCGTTGCTACATCCTGGGATTGCTGCATCTCCCACTGCAACACCAAAATTAGCATTCCCTTTCAAACTGCTGTCGGCCATTAAGCCCTTGCAAGAACCATGCTCTTGAAAAGAAGCGCTATCTGAGAGGGATTCAAGTCTGCTCTTATCAGAACTAGATTCTGCTTTCGTCACTTCCACCTCTGAATCTCCCATGTACATGCCGGGCTCGCTAGTAAGCAGCTTCCTGCGGGATTTGCTTGCGCTCAACATCCGCCCCTTTTGAGATGCTCTCTTTTGGTTAGCTGCCTGACCATCGGTCCGGGTGTTGGCTGTGGAATGTCGCTCTCCATGACCAACTTACTCCTTGGGGTCACGATGGGAGCAGCATGATCACTGCTCTTTACGCGGCACTGCCTGAGGCCGCGTCGAGGCTGTAAAGCGCCATCTGGTGGGACTTCCTCCTGGCTGTCGACCATTACGTTCCGTTCTGCCGTCAACTTGCCATCCGACTCCGAGTTCGGGCCCTCACGCGCAGCGTTTTCCCGACTCTTACTGCGGCGGGTTCTCGGTTGTGTCACCGGCGTGACCGGCAGCTCCCCGGAGGCATCCTCCTGCTCCTGCTCCTCCTCCATTTCAAGATCGACTTCAACTCCTGAAACGTCTTTCTCGATTGGCTGCCAAGAGTGGGGAGGGCTCGCTCTCCCGGAGTGTGCTTTGGCGGGGTACCAGCCACCATCTCTATCGACTCATTGCTGCTGTTGGCAGGGCCCACAGCCACATTATCTTCACTGGCTTCCTCCGTGTCGACTGCAAGCCCCATTGCTTTCCCGTCCGAATCCAGGTTCGCTCCATCTTTATCTGTGCTGCCATTACAGCCCAGAAGCTCCGGTTCGGCCTCTCCGTTGTGAGCGTCGCATTCTGGAGCATCGTTTCCACTCGGAGGGGCCTGCGCTTTGTCGTCCACGCATGAGGAACTTACTTCAATCTCTTTGCTGCTGGCACTATTGATGATCTCGTCTTTACCACACGGTGTTGACTGCACCACCTCTTGAGCGTTGTCGGCGCTTCCATTCAAGTGTCCGCTTGACACCAGTGCAGTGTGGTTATTTTCATCCACTGTTGTGTCCGTTGACTCTATTTCTGCAATGGCTCCTGTCTCCACCACCCTCTTCACAGCCGTCTCATCCGCATTCATCTGACCGGCGAATATCGGAGTCTTGTGTGTGAGAGGGCAGGACCCACTGCTCCTGCAGAACCAGTCATGGAACACGCAAGTCAAGCTAATGTTTGTCAAACTCAACAACAGCCACCGGTTAAAACACACCTACTACCGTCAGGTCAAAACATCTACAGGCAGGGCTACGGCAGCCATTTATCAATTCCAGTCCTCAAGCCCCAACCACAGCATAGGCTTCAGTGTTTATAAATCATCAGCTGGCTACCATGTGTAACTATTTATTTTGGTTCTGAACAATAAAATATTTATTTGGTGATGCTGCGTTGTCAGTGTACCACAAGCACAAAAACTCACATTCATCACTAACACCGTCTATTCTGGGCACTGATGGCGCACACCTGTAATCCAGCACGATGACAAAATGTTACCTACATCGCCTGGTAGGCAGGACATCGTAGGTTCAATCCCAACCCTGACGCCTGTATACGTGGAGTTTGCATGTTCTCCCCATGGTCATGTGGAATTTTCTCCGAGTATTTGGCTGGTATACATTTCCACATGATAAGCCACTTCGTTGAGCTATCATTTGTGGCCAGGTTACTTCTGAAAAGAATCTCTATAGCTCAGTAGACCTTACCTGGTAAAAAAAATAGTATTTTATAGTTTAAATAGTATGCATGGTAACATAAAAATAGTTTTAGTTCAAGTGTTGGTCGATCTGATATGTTGTGAAACTCCCTTCTAGTGGTCATCGAGGTGCCATACCATGGCTGTCAAGAAGGCAGTAGAGCAAGTGGAATAATCGCCCCCCCTCTTTCCATGTGCAATGGGATGGTGTTGCACCATCAAATGCGTAGGATTTCTCCGGGTTGCTCCAGTTTCCTCTAGCATGTATAAACACTCACCATTAATTGGCTGTAAACATCTTAAAATAAAATATAAACCCAAAACAGGACCCTCCTAAAAAAAAAGAGTCCTATAATTCAGTGTGGCTTTCCTGAAAAAGTAAGTAAAGCCAAAAAGTAAAAACAAATAAAAGGTGACGTATTATGTTAATATATTAAATATTTTTAAGCATATATTATCAGAGCATGTTTGTTTGCATGTTTTGCCACAAGAATATGTGGTTAATGCAGACTTGATGCCTTGCAAAGGGTATCTGACATCTGCTGCTGTCACTTCTCCTAATGCTGAACGGATCTTGTTCAGGGCCGGCCTAGCCCTGATCTCAGAGAGAATATTATTGCTCTGATTTGAACGAGACAATTTATGACAAGACTCTCTTGCAATCACACTTAACATTGACAGAAAAAATGTCTACATCTGATTGGGGCCATGTAGATAACATGACAGCCTCTTCAGCTGCATAAATGTCAGCTAAATGCAAAGATAGCCTGATTTCCAAGTTCAACCTCCTTTCCAAGAAGAAGCCAGATCCACACGTTAAAAAGTTAGATGGTGACAAAAAATTTTTCGATTTAAAGTTTTCGTGATTGCATGGATTAATATTCTTGGTTCTTTCGGTAAAGTCACGTAAAAATAAAACATAATAAAATAAAATTATCACGTTTCCACTACAACGCAAGCAGCCGTCCTCAGGTGAAGAACAGGGCTGTCGGAGTTACATACACGCTAAATGTCTCATTAACACAGCCACCGTTTCATATTCTTGGTTCTTTCGGTAAAGTCACGTAGAAGGGAAATAATAAAATAATATAAATATAAAACAAGCAATCATCATGTGTGAAATCCACACCTGATGATGATTGCTTGCGTTGTGGCCGAAACGTCATGAGAATTATTTTACGATGTTTTATTTTATTATTTTATTATTTCCCTTCTACGTGACTTTACCGAAAGAACCAAGAATATGAATCCCTGCAGTCACGAAAGCTTGTAATAACAAATACAGCCACCGTTGCTTCTTGTCCTCGAGTTGGCGGTGTCCCTCGTATTTTAACGAGCTGGATGTCTCACTAGCACAGCCACCGTTGCGGTGGTTCGCTTACATTGACATTCTAATCTCTCACAATACAATGGCCACCTCCACAGCTGCATCGTCGTGGATGTATATCTGCTCTCCGATCTTACATTTACACGCAAATTCCATCTCTAGCCCCACCCACTTACCCTTGGGCTAAACCCATCTCAAACCTATATAACATCCTGCTTCAGCAGCTCTCCCGCTATATTTTTTCACCTGATGACGATTGCTCGTGTTGCGATCGAAACGTCGTGATATTTTATTATTATTCTATCCCCGTGCCTTTACCGAAAGACCTGAAGAATACAAAGAATATCTATCTGGCGTTAACACCTCCTGTTTCATTGCTAGTAATAGTAAAACCGATTCTTATTGTTAATCAATTTGGATACTCGCAAAAAGGTCACAGATATTTAACATGTTTACATCTCCCATTATAGATTTGTTCCATTTCAGGCAGTGTTTCAATTTCTAAATGCTAAAGATCAGTGAATTGTAAAAGCAGGCAGAGGGCAAGATAATGCTTACAATGCGAGAGGATAAAAAAAATACTATTATAATTGAGATTAACACCTTGCCATGGATATAACTAGTTTAATAGGCAGGGTAAGGAGTGTTTAAGATGTGTGGTGATGATCATGATAATGACGATGGTCCGTGCCGTGAGCGTGTGGACGTGGGGGCAGAGTACTCACTCAGAGTCCTGCGTGCCGGACAGCTGAGAAAACATGGTGGAGTCCTGAGAGGCGTCCAGTGTGTTGTACATGGTCGGTATGTCCACCCTGCTCGCCAATGGTGGGACATGGGCGGTGGGGGAGGGAACGTAGCAAGAAGCAAGGGTGAGAAGAGACAGGCGGAGGCAGAGAGTGTGATGCCATGCATTGCGTACCACGCTCTCTCACACCATACGCTTGGACTGGTGGCCTTGAAGTTAGTGCATTCCAGTTCACATGTGGTCAGTTAGGCATCGTTCATGCAGATAGCCGGTTATGTCTGCGAGGAATTGGCAAAGCGCACAATCATCTACAAGATCGACTTGTATGAAGCCAAAGCATTTACCATTCCCAAGACTATGCACCTGTGCCCATATCCCAAACGAAATTTCAAATCGAATTGTTGTGATACCCAGAACTGATTGGTATGGTATGGTGAACCTGTATCATGACACACGGAATGCTAAACTGTGCATTATCCATAATAGAGGTTTTTGGATTAGATCGCGAATCGCTAAACCCGCCACCACCCGACACACCCAATTAGTAAGGTTTGTCACGTAAACAAAACATGCCAATTGGTTACAAGTTCAACACACCGGTGTGTTGGAGAGTAATCCCACAACATTTACAAGTCGAGTATGACATTTCACCGGTAATTACAACCAGCCTCATCAGGCGACAGTGAGAATTGTAAACAAATCCTCCTGTTTTGGTATTAGAGGGATAGATGTTATGTCGTCTCTTGCGAGCCAATCAGCCGCGGGGGGACAAGAGGGGGGGGGGGAAGATTAATGTATTCATATAAATTACAATCGATATCTATTATTGGTTGGGTTATTCACAGTTAAATCAACATACATAATGTATGTACATCATGTATGGCCATTATGCATAGACATTATGTGCATTGTACGGGTCAGTCAGCACCTCTTGGTCCGCAGCACCTCCTTCTGATGCTCTGTGAGCACACGGGATCGGCTGGCAGCTGTAGCTGGCGGGGGGATGAACACAAAGTCCTGGGAGCTCTCCTCCTCGAGCTGAACACGTTGGCGTGTGCGTACTGTCCTGGGCGACTGCAGGCTGCTTGCCTGTTGTGCAGCACAGCGCGCGTGGCACAGCAACAGTCCGTTTTAACCAATTAACACTTTTTCAAAGAGCCTCAAAAATTAACGGGCTCAAATGGAGTCCAACGCTGTTCAGAAAAACACTGACATTTTCAAAACAGCACGTGTAAATCATAACCGACAACTTATATTTTGTAACATTTTGTCTGCTGCACAACACAGTTCCTGCAGTGTTTGTGGAAGGGCCGGCATATAACATTACATGCATATACCCAGCAGGAAATGTTTAACATACCAAATTCTGCTGAAGAAGCTTAGAAAGTTTGAACAAGGTTAGAGTTTGCCCACGTAAACAAATGCTGCCGAAAAGACCTACAGATGCAAATATTTCTGGTTTCTTGCAGTTAAAAAGATCATTGTCTTTATCTTAACGTATTGCCTATTATCCATTTTCGTGGTACATTTGTAATGACAAAACCAGAAACGGACTGACACTAAAAAGAAGACAAAAATAACCTACTTTTGAACAGAATCGTGACCCCAAAATGTGACAGTTCAAACTGCCGTGAAGTTTCATTTTTAAATGGCTTGTAAGAAGTCCTAGTGGCAAACAAGTGGGCGCTTGCCAGGCTGCAACAACAAAAACTGATATTCGCCTCAAAGTGAGTGACATCACCACAGCGCTTGTGCCAGGCTAGGCGCACTTTTGAGGCTAATTGAACTGTCAACGGCTTGCTGACAGGTCAGAGGACCGACCCAGGTACTGAGATTACTGACAGATGCACCCCATCTGTGTTCCCCACTGTGCCAACCTGCTGGGTTTTAGATGCCCGGCCATTGTTGTGAGCGTCACCCCTCTGCCTTCCGCTGTTGATAAGAGGGCAACTGCCTCTAACTGCCAAGTAACGTCCTTCACAAGCCTTCTACACAGAGGCGGATCTTGACACTGCTTATACCAGTCTTCAGCAAGTCCAGAGTTCCAGATCCTTCTGCACAACATCGGCCCCTCTCTTCTCTCGCCTGTGCCGTGCTGGTTTAGTGCCCGCTATCCATAAAAACAGAAGCTGCTTGGGCATGCCAAGCTGCACACAAACACACACGTACGTACGTGTGCGTGAACGAGCGTGTACCTTCGGTGTGGCTGCCTTTTCCACAGGCAGGCACGGAGAGGCCCAGGTAGCTATGGCGGTCTTATTACGGGTTGGGGTAACAGGTGTGGGAATGGTTGGCTGTGTCTCCTTGTGGATCGCTTGTGCCTCCTTTACGCTGGTCTCCGTGGGATGCCGACCATCCTGGACTGTGGCTTCCTGCTGTCGGAGTGTACAAATGAGATGATGCAATGCGATACCAATGTCTTGAAATCAGCTTCAGAAGTAACCGACAGAACAATTCAAGCGACATTTTATGAAAGGTTCACAATGGGCAGATTTTCTTTGACTAACCATTGGTCATAATACACGGTTGTGTAATGTGGTGTGTCATGGTGTGTGTGTGTAATGTGGTGTGTGGGGAGCTGTGGCACAGTGATTAGCACATTGCGCTACAAACCCGGTGAACCGGGTTCGATTCCCGCTCACGGCCAACATCGGTGACGAATATTTGAACTGGTCCTGGGCCTCCCCTAGGTCGACTCAGCCTCAGATGAGTACCTGGTGTGGTGTGTAAACATTGCCACCTCGTGTGCCGTGTCAGCCATCATTGGTACTACTCGCTAACAGCACTTGCCCCAACAGTTTGTGAAGACTATACGGGGGATCTTTGTCTTCGTCTTTATCAAGGGTTGTGTGTCGGAGTGGTGAAGCAGTGATTTGTGCATTGCACGACAATCCCCGTGAGCTTGGCAAGATTCCCAACCATGCCCATCAGTGTCAAGTGGTATTTGGCATTGTCTTGTGTACCAGTGCAGCACACAAAGGGTAGTCAGGCATGGCACTGACAACACCGTTCCCTCTTGTGTAGGGCTCGGCAGCATTTCTGCAAGGAGAATTTTCTCCAATTGTTTATATAAGTATGTTGAAATTATTTCACACCGTACATAGCTTACCATGCTAATCGGAGGTGCATCCTTCACAGTACAGTTAAGAACACCCATGTCTCCCCATGGCATGAGCCCATCCCACAGTAGAATGACAAAAAGGGCTCTACATGGGCCAACATTTAATGCTGGCTGCTGCACCTTGACAGCGAAGCGATTGGAGTCCCCTTTGTCAGCAACAGCGTCGTTGTCGTCGTCGTCATCATTCGAGTCGTCAAGCAGCGGGGCGGAGCGTGCCTCCTCGTCTGTGAGCTCCACACCAGGCAACGCAAGCAGAGATCGCTGGCGCTGCATCACCAACCTGCGCAGCAGCCACGTCAGCACACAGAAACAGAATATTTATACCGGAGGAATCCGATGAACTATAAAGCTCTTTTTCAAAAAATGTCCAGTCGGGTCATGGGGGTAAGAATGCCATAACAAACAATACAAAAACAAAATAGTTGTGCAAAGTACAGGAAAGTACAAGAAAGGCAAACAAATCACCAAAATACGTGTGCATACCCCGATACCACCACCACACATACAAATAAAACGAAACCATCCCCAGCCTACCATGCAAAGCCCACTGAGGTATAAACTTACTTTTCAGAAACGACCTGGCCACAAATGATCACTCAACAAAGTGGCTTATCATGCGGCAATTTATAGTAGCAACATCATCTAAACAATCTCAATGCATGTTTCTAAATGTGGAGGGAAAAACCAGAGGACCGGGAAAATATAAATCCACCCAACCACGGGGAGAACATGCAAACTCCAAATATACAGCAAGCATGCACACACATCGTTAGCCTCATCAAGACGTCAAGGATTAATCTATTAATGATGACCTGCATCAACAAGTCTATGTAATTACGTGAATTATTAATGTGATAAATATATAATAAGAGACGACACTGCAAAAGGATTGCCGATAATATAATGTGCCAACAACATGTTTTAATATTACTACAAATGAGTTTGTAGGAATACATTTTTGATTATCGGAGAGTTTTTCTGTTACACAATATCTAGTAATAGGTAACTACACACGTCATTTTTAAACTTAATCAGAAAATATTTGTAAAATGCAATTCTTATCAGGCCCCATTGTGTATCTCCAACTACTCTTCACCATGGCTCTTTGGCCTCTCTAAATGTGGTAAGAAGAAGGACCATTGCCCGAAACCTCGCCCAGTAGATATTTTTCCTCTTAAGGACGCAGTCTTCTTGATACAGAGGATGCCGTTTGAGACGAGGCTCAAAAGAAAGCTGTCTCTGATGTGGACCAATCAGTTTCAAGGACAATGCATATATTATCAGTGTTTTTGTTTTGCATTTTGACCATAAACATTGTAGTTAATGCAGACATGATTCCTTGTAAAAGGTTTCAGTTTGGTGTTTTAACATCTTAACCACTGTTTTGTTGCCAGAAAAAAGGGGAAAAACCTATTATCATATCCACATTTATCAGCCACACGGGGCTTCTTTGAGTGCATAATTTTAGTAGCATTGATTCAACACGAGCAAACTCTGGACCAGTTTCAACACGCAGTCTCATCAGCAGTCAGGATTGCTTGAATCAATGCTGGCAAACTGCCAAATGTTATAGGCAAGAACTCTTCTTTTTAATATATGGGTCTTAGTTTTATGCAAAATCAAATGATAAATAACTCAAAATAATGGTTTGTGTAAAACATAATTTATTTTAATAGATATGTGAAGGAGACATTGTCTGCTTATGTATTTTGTTATTTATATTCTCCACACTGGCTAATGATTATTTTAAATTAATCATCAAACTGAATGCTTAAAGAAACACTGAGCAAGAAAATGGATAAATATTTCATAGCAAGGCACATCCAAGTACAGACAAGATATGCACACACTCACAGACACACGAATCGCAGCTGTTCACACAAGCAATAAACAACATACACAAAATATATAATGAGCGCAGATGTCACACGATTAAGCGGCGGCTGCTATTTGAGAACAGTGCACAGCAGGGTTCCCATGAACATGTTGCAAGTGCATGACAGCGGCACAGACAAGCTGCCTCATTCAGACAGCCTATACCCTCATAATAAGCTCGTGCATGTGCACTGAAGCAACGGAAATGTGGTGGCTTTGCTACCAACACTGGCGAGACAAAGGTGAACAGGTATGCCAAACCAAAAACTTGCGTTTGGCCAACGCAAATAGTCCCCTAAAGCAAGGGTCCCCAAACCCCGGACCAAGGAACTGGTACCGGTCCGTGGCCTGTTAGGAACCGGGCCGCACAGCAGGAGGTGGTGAGCGGTGAGTCCGCGCGTGGCCCGCTCATTATATTATTTACCACTTTTGTCCGCCCCTCTTTCCCGCACTGCGCACTTGTCTCAGTCACAGTTTTGGTAAGCCCACAAGCTATAACCCCGAGCCACAATGAGTAAAACACAAACGTCGCTGGAGAGCTTCTTTCAATGATGAACACCCCCCGGTCTGTGAAAAAATTGTTATCCACCAAACCGGTCCCTGGTGCCAAAAGGTTGGGGACCGCTGCCCGAAAGGAGAAATTAAATGGGCTCCATGGTGGCGAGATGTTAACTACCTCGCCTAGTACGCAAGAAGGCATGGGATCGATCCCAACCCTTGATGCCTGTATATTTGGAGTTTGCATATCTCTTTCCCTGTGGCCATGTAGATTTTTCTCCAGGTCCTTGGGTTTTTTCCTCCACATCCTGAAACATGCGTTTAAGAGTATTTGGCTGCTATACATTTCCATATGACGGGCCACTTCATTGGAAAATCATTTGTGGCCAGGTCACTTCTAAAAAAGAGCTACATAGTTCAGTGGGTCTTACTCGGTAAAATAAAAAGTTTTAATAGGTTTTTTTGGTTTTTCATCTGGAAAGTATGAGTGAGAAGCCAGACAGTACCCCCCGTGTCACACCATCTTCCCTTGTCTCACACGAACACACCCCCTGCGTCACACCACACGTGTCCCAGAACGCACACGCTCCAAGCACCTGAGCTGCTCAGGGTAGTTCAAAGGCGCTTTCGTCCTCCCGAAGGTGGCGTCCCAAAATTGTGCAGCGCGCGATCGCACAGCAGGGGTCCGGTGAGGCAGTGTGTGGCACAGCAGCGGTGACAGGAGCTGCAGCAGCGAGTCGTCGTGAGGTCCCGCCGACGGGCCCTCCAGGAGGCCTGCCACAACCTCCCACAGCTCAGGCAGCTATTCGACACACGTGGGGCCGAACAAGACGGCGCAATTAGCAACCCGGCGTTTCTTGTTCCTCGCCACGATTAACACTGCATCACGTTTTCTGTATTGTTGGAAACGAAGAGGGACTCGCTCGCTCACATCGCTTCAAATTAAAGTGGCTGGGTAGCTTTGGAGGGTGTTGGTACTGAAACAGCAAAACTGTGGCTTATTTCAGCAATTAAGTTTTCAATTTTCAGTTTGAATCAAATCGAAAGAGGTCAGTTGCCATCACAAAGGCTTGTTTGGCAGGTCACAGGACAAATCCATATTTTGACTGGCTGACTACAGTGACTAGTGAGCCAGCAGTATGGGCGTAAACACAAAGATCCCCCATATTGCCTTAACAGACGATTAGGGAAAGGTTCTGTGAGCGAGCAACTATGAAGACCGGCACATCACATGAGGAGGTGGGTGGTCAACACCACGCCCGGTTGCCTTTGTCTTCCAAATTCTGATGTTTACTCAAAGTACCAGCTACTCATCCCGGCTCCCCGTGGTCATTTGTGGCCAGGTCACTTCTGAAAAAGAGCTACATAGCTCAGTGGGCCTTACCTGGTAAAAGACAAATATTTTTTTTAAGGCAGTCAGGCATGGTGCTGTTACACCCCCATTTCCCCTGTTGGCCGTCATTGATGCTCGTGAACAGCACTTGCCTTCACAGCGCGCTAGAGGCTATATTATGACACTACAGTACTGATGATGCTGAAACTGCTTCTGATGATGATAGGCCGATTATGCACTCTGATGATGATGCTGCTTCTGTTATGACCCAATTGATCAGCTTTCAAACAACAAGTTTTACTTTAGAGTAATGGCTGTCCCTTAAAAAGAGGTTGCACAGCACATTCAGTGTGAGGTGCAGATTCCACGGGAAACTATTTATCGGTGCAGCAGGTGCTCCAGGCGCATCGCCGGAGAAGTATGGATGTCACTTAGGATGTCACAACCGATTTCCCCGAATACTTATCGTGAAAATCTGTCATCGCCACAGCTCTCACCTTTGAGTGGGGGAATTCAGAGCCCTTTCTGTAACTGGTCTACCCTGCACTGGGCTACCCAGTCAAGGCCACATGTCACCGGGTGAACCCTGTGTGACTTACACCAAAAGTCAGAATTGTCACCAATAGGAGTTATACCCTTGCCAAATTGACTGATGTCGAGATTGCAAGAGTAAATCATGCACTGACTTGCTAAGCCCTAGAGCCGAAAAGCATGCCCTCTCAACAGCCATACTGACAAATTCAATTCCGGCAGATCCTGGCACCAATTGCCCCTCTAGGACAACAGGTCTGGGCGACTTGGTAGGTCACCTCGTTTGGCCCTAACTGCACAGCCAGAAGGTCCAAGAACCAAACTTGAGTTTAGAGAGTTTGGTTGCTATAGATTTCCAAATGATAAGCCACTTCATTGAGCTATAATTTGTGGCCAGGTTGCTTCTAGAAACAGCTATATAGCTCAGTGGGCCTTACCAGGAGAAAAAAATAGTTTATAGCTGCCGCCATGTGTCCCAGCACCACGGGGAAGACCCTGGCGGTGGACCCGCCATGTGAGAGCATAGTTTCCTTATCACGTGCACCAGCTGTTCCCACTTTTCCTCTCGCACAAACAATGGCCTTCCACTTCGTATCCCACACCAGTCCGAGGTGTATGATGCGTTGGGAGGGCTGAATGTTGCACTTCGGTTCGTTTAGCATGAACCCACAATGCTGGAGGCCATCCACCACCAGACATATCAAACCCTGCAGCGCCACTGCCGATGATGAAGACACTCGGAAAAACCGAGAGGTCAAACAGTAGGAGGAGGCAAAAAAGTCCTCTTTGGGTTTTCCAGTCTCAGCTGATATGGCTGTGCAGGTGAACTAATTGATAATTTAAACACAAAGGCAGCGTGTGGTAGTGGCGATTCCTGGGAACATGCGTGGGTTATGGATGCCCGCCTGTTGAAGAAAGCAGTGCTGATGAAGCCACTGCCAGACCATTTAAGTTTTTGCATGTGTCATCTTAGACTGGAAAACCCAAGATGATAGACTTTGTTGGCTCCTCAACCTGAAGCCACAAACCGGCACCGACACATGCACGCACACGTGTTCGTAGTGTGACGTCTTACCTTGCCCATCAGCAGGGGGCTGTAACGATGGCCCTTTCTCCCACTCCTAGAAACGGGACACAGTTGAGTGCATTAACACAAGACAGCAACTCAACAACTCACAGGATGAAAAAAAAATCACCCCAAATACCCCGTAATTGCGATCATCCTCGAGATGCTCACTGTGCGTAAAGGCTGGCAATGGGAGGCACCATCATGGTCATAGCCGCCCGGATCTCAGACGACGTCTGCAATCGGCGAAGCAGCGTAGCCGCCGCATCCACCAACTTCGCGCCTGTCGCCCAAAGCTTGGTCTGCGCTGTCTCCACTGTCGCCGGCGTTGCTGCAGTACTGCCGAACGCCTCAATGGCCCTTGCGAGCAAAGTGATCAGCGAGCTCAGGTTTCCCAGGGAGTCCTTCCTCACCCGGCGAGGACACACGGGGCTCAGGCACCCTGGCGTTTGGGGGGGGTGGAACACGGTGGACATGCCATGATTCGCTATTGCCACGATTCAATTCATTCCGATGATTGGGAGCTACAATTCAAATTTAAGAAATGTATTTTGTCGTCCAGCTTATACTGTCACGTTTGAATCGTCTGTTTCTTCTGTTCAGTGTCATTTTTCCTGTCTTGTTTTGTTTCATAAGCAGAAAAAAGTTAAAGTTGCATATCTGGAATGCACAGTTTCTGTAAATTCAGAGGCCCAAGAACAATTTCCCAAGCTCTATGGGCCTAAATTTTGATGTTTGGCTAACTTCATGAATATGGGAAAAAACAGGACCACTCTGAGAAAACCCACACATAGGAGAGGGCAACAACACTCTATTCTTGCAGAGAGCCAATAGATGGAGATTGGTCCACATTTGCCAGACTGCCTTATGAGGTAAGACAGGGTATGGCACCTCAGCACTCATGGGAAGGGAGTTTCACAACATTTGTGCGATCCACAAACCCCTCGCCACCTAGCCACCAACACCGCCTGGCAGAAATCTAACATTTGCATAACTTCAACAATGCATTCTTATACCCACCATTTTAAACATTCAACCCAAGTGTAGCAATGAATTTGAATCCAAGAATTCATGAACAATTACATGCCGTGAGCCAGCCTCCACGCGATTGAGGGAAAACCCGTGGGGGCGATGGGGCACGCAACCCCTACGGGCAGGGTAGCAAGCTCACCTTTGGAACTGTCCGTGGCAGCCCGATTCTGCGCCAGAGCGGAGAAGTCGAAGTTGGCGAGCATCACGATCACCAGGTGAGCCGTTGCACGCAGAGAATGCCAGTGCTGTGGAGGGAGAGGTGAGGAGGGTGATGATACGGAGTCCACAATGGGGTGACCGCACTGCTCAGGGGATGTGAGGTGATGACATTATTATAAACTACGCAAAAAAATACTTGTAAAGTGAAAATATTATCAATACGCTAAATGTGAAGGTGTATTTCCTTTGCAATTTTTTTTCAAAACGTTGTGGTCACTCATCCAAAGACCCAACCAGGCATATATCCTTATGAGTGTAGCATGGAACTCTGAAGCAGAGCTCCAAATTGAGTAATGAGTTCCGGTGCATGGGCCATGTGTACACAAACCATTAATGGGATTATAACGCAGTGCATCACAGCGGAGTGCCGAACAAGCGATGTGCAGCGCCATGCAGACTAGTGTGCGATGCAGTGCAGTTGGATTTGATACAGTGCAACACGTTACAGTGTGGTGCAATTGAGTGAACAGTACTATAAAGTAATGCAATAATGTGCAGTTATAATTGATAGGCCTTTGTCTATACATTGTTGGACAAGGCTTACAACAACGCTGTGCGAGCCATGTTTCAGGTGAAACAGTTATTTTGTTAATTACAATATTTTGGTAAGGTTCATTCAATATATTGCTAGTTTTTACATTATTGTAATCAAATAATATATTGCTTTAACTTGAAATGCTAGAGCTATGATACTATAATTTGGTATAATTTATATATAATTTAGTATCATTTATACTAAATTATAGTATAACTAGCACACTACACCTAAACATAATTAAGTATGGCCTATTTTCATCAATCATTAAACAGATGCAGTTTTTTTACACTATTTTAAACCTTGTAAATTATAATGAAATTAATCAGCAATCAATTTATTCTCAAAGCGATTCACTTGTATGGCTGTTCTGATGACATGATGGGATCTACTTAAGGATCCAGATCAGGAAGCACTATCAATTAAGATCTGAGCTCATGCTAATTAGGCTGTGCTTGTTTTTCAACATTGCGGTTTGCTGAAAAACTATTATGGTGGCACATTTGCCCACGTGACAACTTGCTTTGGTTGGCTTTGTTGGGTGGCTCTAATCAACATTACACCTACAGAATTATACCAAAAGAAACCCTTTCTTTGGTTTTTTCGGTGAAGTCACGTATAAAAATAAAATAATAAATTAAATAAGAGCATACGACGTTTCGATTGCAACACAAGCAACCATCATCAGGTATAATGAAATAGCGACATAGAATATAACCAGAAAACTATAGACAGACATATAAGCAGACAGATATCACCAAGATACATAGAGAGAGCAACCCAGGTACAGAGAGAGGTGATCGTCTCTGTGGGGTGGCCTTAAATAGACAGAGGGGGGCAGAGGCAGAGAGAGGGAGGGGGTAGGGAAAACATTTACATGTCAATGAGTACGAAGGGAGGGGAGTAAGGTAAGCAGGCTTAGAGGGAGACAGAACACACTAAATTAAATAACCTAGCAAAGTATCGAAATGTTATGTAAAACGACACAGAGAGTCGGTCTGTGTCGTTTTACATAACATTTCGATACTTTGCTAGGTTATTTAATTTAGTGTGTTCTGTCTCCCTCTAAGCCTGCTTACCTTACTCCCCTCCCTTCGTACTCATTGACATGTAAATGTTTTCCCTACCCCCTCCCTCTCTCTGCCTCTGCCCCCCTCTGTCTATTTAAGGCCACCCCACAGAGACGATCACCTCTCTCTGTACCTGGGTTGCTCTCTCTATGTATCTTGGTGATATCTGTCTGCTTATGTCTGTCTATAGTTTTCTGGTTATATTCTATGTCGCTATTTCATTATACCTGATGATGGTTGCTTGTGTTGCAATCGAAACGTCGTATGCTCTTATTTAATTTATTATTTTATTTTTATACGTGACTTCACCGAAAAAACCAAAGAATAATTCCTGCAGTCACTGAAAGCTCCAAAATTAAGACAAAAGAAACCCATTGTGAATCAAACTTCACCACGCTGGTCAGTGTGGGTTGGCAACAGTCAGGAGCTAAGACCAGTTCAGATATTACTCGCCACCAATGTTAGCCGCAGCCTAGAATTTAACCCAAGGTTGCCGAGTTCAACGTGCATGTTATTTGGTTTACGACTGCGCTAACTCTCCCCACCTGAACAGCAGAGCATAGAGTGCAGTAGAGTAAGGCTCGGCCACACGGGGCTCAGTAACATTGGACGTCGATCGGCGTGGTGGACTGGGACGCTCACCGCGAGCTGGTCAACATGCAGGTGCGGCAACGCAAGGGCGCACAGCTCCTCGCACCACACGTTTGCCTCGGCGGTGCACACGAGGGAGGCACAGCACGAGAAGGCCTGGTATAGCTGCTTCCAGCTGTGCAGCACCGCCGTCAAGCTGGCCTGCAGACGCACACGCACTCTGATCACCAACAACTACCGGAAAAAAAACCATCGCTGGTCCAGCCCGGTTCTGAAGCACTTTCCTTGTACACAGACATCGAGAAAAACAATGCGCTCCTCTGCATCACTAAATAAAGTTGTTGAGATGCTACATTAAAAGACACCTTTTCAGGATGTCAGGTGTAACCGCAAGCATTGAACCTCCGAGTTAACTACTTCTGGAAATATATTTAGGGTGCCATGTATTTCATCTAGATTTTAATATAATTAAGGGGGAGACTGGCAGTAATATCCTATGCAAGTGTGGGTGTGGTACCGGACGTAGGCTGGCCGCTGGGAAGATGAACTGGATGGGCAAAAGCAGGGCCTTGTAAAGTGCCGTGAAGTTGTGCTCCAGCGTATCTCCCTGGTTCACCTCCTTGGTCTGAGACAAAACCACACAAGTAAACACACACATCATACTCGCCCCTTTACCCTGCCACCCTTAGCACAATCCGAGTGTTCACACAAAAGACAAAAATCTCCAATGTTGCCGACACAGTCTGTTGGGGTAAATGCTGTTGGCGAGGGGGTGGTCTGGCCAGTACCACATCCTGTCACCTCTTGTTTCCCTAGCACTGATGTTTTCACATATTGGAAAGTTAACCTAGGGGAGACCCAGACCTAGTTAAGATATCACATACCTGTCAACCCATGTGGTTTACCAGTATTCTTGCACAGGAAAATTGAGTTTTCAAGTCCATATGGTATACAGCCATTTCAATACTGGCAAAAAAAAGTCCATTTGTTTTTCTTCGTTGTGATGAGACTTTGTAGGATGAATTTTCAGATTTATAAGGGACACGGGGTGACCAATACGGTCTGAATTGATCTGTAATAAGGTAGGCACTGCTGATAAGGGGTTGACAGGTATGATATCACTTGCCACTCACATTAACCATGGCTGGGAATCGAATCGTTGCTGGGTACATACCGCAGCGTGCTAATACATACACGTCTGCACATACCGAGTTCACTTAACAGGAAGCCCACAACAGATTGGCAAACAATCGAACTGCAGTGGATGGGATTCTCGCGAAACAATGCATCTCTACAAGAGGCAGAATTACGTTTCAAGGATATTTACAAAAGCCAGTACAGCACAGTAGAGCAAGTCTGATTTTTTATCCATCGGTGCATTAACTGTATAGCTTAAATGAGTACTTCTCTAAATACTCAAGTGGAAATTGGTCAAACATTGCATGTGTAGCACATCGAATTGTAGAGCGTATGTCTAGTTCAGTGGCTGCACGTTTATTGTTTAAAAATAAAGAAAATTAGTCAATTCAGGTGTCAACGGGCACACAACAATGGACGTAGAGACTTCTTTGTGGTGTTTTTTTTATATGGAACTTCAGCTCGAACCTCCTGTATGCAAAAAGTAACACTCTCACTTTAGCCCGTTTTCTCCCTGCCTCACGGGCTGACAACATCTCTGCTGTGAATCTGATATTGGTTTTCTATCTACCCACTATTTCATATGAATAACAATATAATTACTGGCATTCAACAGTATTAACACATTTAAAATATTAAACACTAAAACAATAACTTAAAATCAAAACCACCAAGCGAATTAAATAAACTCTTTGACAATAACTACAGTACTGTATTCATTTACGCAGCAGCTGACAACGTTCAGTGAGTAAATTACCACACACATTAATCGAGCCAGTCTCTTAAGGCTCTGTATACCTGTACTCTCATGGACTAATTAATCATATAAATGAATACACCAGTCGATTTTAATAAAATAAACATTTCACAAATGACTTTATATTCTGGTCTAATTTATTCAAATTAATGATAAATTATACAATTATTATATAATTGTTCAACCATTATTATGCTTTATGCTCATTCGCCTCCTTAAGACAATTAATTAAGGTTAATTACAGCATATTTCCCAATCATATTTGCTTGTAATCATATGCAAACATGCAAACGGGTTTTGAAAATCATGTAAGCTACGTAACTATGTTATTCTGGATGCGTAACTATCCATATTACATCTGTAGTGACTGCCCACCATCATCTAGTTCCTTAATTAATGTGAGCAGAGTCAGGGATTGTGTAAGTACGAAGAACAAGCCAGAGCCCAGGCCTATTGATAGTATCATAGGCCTTGACCAGGTCAATAAAGCAGATGTAGGTGCTGCTAGAATTCCCTCCACCTCTGCTGTAGCAGATGGACGTAAAATATGGCATCTGTGCAAGACCGACCTAGCCTGAGACCACACACACACACGCACCTGCTGAATGCGGGCCGTCAGAGGGTGCACCACCAACTCCCAAATGGTGCACAGGCGCTGGCAGGGCAGGGTGGTGCCCACCGCGGCTTGCTCAAGCAGCCCCAGCACCGCTGCGCTGAAGCCCAGGGGGGACGCCGGCCCGTCCAGTACGCAGCCAACAAGCGTGTGCAGAAGCGACTCCAGCCTGCGCCCGCAACCCACATGTGTAGGCGCACTCGGCATGTAACGATTCACACACTCCTGCCCCCAACCATCGATACGATCATGTGTCATGATTTCGGGATATAATTCAGTAAAAAAAAATTTTTTGTATCTTTTTGACTATCTAATATGTGAGTTTAACACGTAGGCTTTCGCGACCAATATCATACATAGAGCTTTTTTGGGTTAAATCGTGTAAATATAGAACATGTCAAAGAAGCGCTTCAAATGAATGGTTACAATGATGCACAAATCAACAGGGCATTGAATTCCAAAACCAAATCAAATAACACGAGCATTGAAACTGCCCAAGTAATTAAAACGATCAAAATACCATACATTGCGGGAGTAACTGATAAACTAGCCAGATGGGAAAAACAAAACATGCGAGTCACATTTGGCACGGTACATAAAATACTGAAGCTATCAACAGAAGGTGTGTACAGGATTAACTGCACGTGTGGTGAATATTATGTTGGGCAAACAGGACGAATGATCAGCACGAGACTAAAATATCATCAGAGAAATATTAATTTCTCCCAAATACAACGGTCAGCAGTAGGAGAACACACGTGTCAACAAGGACACTCAAAACTAGCGACTACGAGCCAAGACAAATTAGATAATCTATGGAAATTGAAAGAAATAAAAATTATTTTAACCGTTCAGATAGTTACCGCCTTAGTGCTGCGTGGAAGCGAATCGTCAAATAATACATTATTAAAATGCATGCCTATAAAGGGCAGAATACCTCAATAGGGATTACCGTTGGTACGGCTATTTTAATACACAATAGACAGGAAGGACAAGATCGAAGGGCTCACATAATGCATAATGTAGTTGACTCAGTAATCCCCCCCCCCCCACACTTGGCGCAAGAGCGCAGAAGCATGGTCACCACATCTACGCCTCTATATAAGGAACGAAATAGTTAGACTTCTCCACAAATCTGGCTGTCACCTGATGAAGCTAGTTGTGATTACTGGCGAAACGTCGTACTCAGATTGTAAATGTTGTGGCTTGGCTCTCAAACAAACCGGTGTGTTGTACTAGTGACGAATTGGCATGTTCTGCTTACGTGACAACCCTTACTAGTTGGCTGTGTCGGGTGGTGGCGGGTTCGAATGACATGACACTTTTATATATTTACGCGATCTAACCAAACAAAACCTCTCTGATGCATCTAATTTGTATTGTTTGGTCTATCTCGTTTCTACCCCTTTGTTTATATCTTTAGCTGAAGTGTTACACGAGATTATACATTTTGTATACCTTGTATCAATCATAAATAACCAATTCTTACAAGCACGAATCAATGCACATATCGTATGTACGAATACATTGTAATCAATGCATTGTTACAATGAAGAGCAACATATATGAGCAGGGCAAGTCTCCTTCATGTATGGGTCTCTCAACCTAAAAGCCCCATGGCTTTTCTGAGTGTGCATAAATTCAGCAGTGTTTATTTAATACGAGTCTGACTCTTTTCAGGAGGGTCCTGCCAATTTTTTGCAGGAGGTTCTGCTGATTGCTATGCATAGCAAGTCCTCTATGTTGCTCCTGTATTAAAACTGAAATCTATAAAAAAAAGGAAAAATGTATTTTACCAGGTAAGGCCCACTGAGCTATATATCTCCTTGTCAGAAGCAACCTGGACACAAATGATAGCTCAATGAAGTGGCTCATCGTGTGGAAATTTATAGCAGCCAAATACTCTAAACGCATGTTGATTGTAAACGTGGAGGGAAAAACCGCAGGACCCGGAGAAAAAATTCCACGCAACCACGGGGGGAACATGCAAACTCAAAATATACAGGTTGGGATCGTACCTATGAGCTACCTAACAGGCAAGGGAGTTAACATCTTCGCTACCACGGTGCCTTGAGAGCATGAGTGCAGGCACAGGCCTGCCCCCCTTATACATGATCACTACTGGTTTAGCCCCGCTCACTTCCCCTCCCCACTCCGGCATTTTGCCGTGTATGTGTCTTAGCTTCAGCACTCCACCACCCTCTCTATCTGTCCTCCCTGGCTCCTCCCCCCTTCTCTTACCTATATAGTCTCTTGTTACAGCAGCCCTTTTGCCCACTTCAGCAATTGTTTCTTGCTGTGGTTGTCCCACCTGATGACGGACGCTTGTGTTGTGCCCGAAACGTCGTGATTAATTTTATTTTTTTATACCTACGTGACTTTACCGAAAGAACCAAAGAGTACTGGATTCACTCGTTTCGTATTATCAAGGCAGTACGGTATTTTTTGCCACTCTGTATATAACCTCGATACTGTATAATGGTTTTGTTATGAATAGCCGGGTAGTGGTGGTGGCTGCTGCCTGTCGTGAGATCGTGCGCTGTGGAGGCAGCAGCGAAGGTTGGTGGATTATCGCACTGATGGTGTGAAACTCCCTTCTACTCCTGGGCGTCAAGGAGTTGCCGTACCCCGGGCTAGCCAGGAGGAGGCGGTATAGCGAGTGGACTAATCGCCATCTGTGTCCATCTGTACAGGAATAGAGTGTTGCCCCCTTGCACAAGACGTGGGTTTTCTCTGGGTGCTCTAGTTACCATCCACGTGTATCACAAACACTTTGTTAATTGGCTGAAAACATTTTAACATAAAACCCCAATGTAGGATCAGGACTCTCCTGAAAATAGTCCTACGACTCAGTGTGGCTTTCCTGGATAAATAAGTAAATTACAGTATTATTTAATTGCAAAAAAAATTAGTAAGGAAAACTGGAGAGGTAGTGCCACCAGGTTAGTATATTTTGAATCGACAGCTCAGTGTGCTCTTAAAAGATGTAAGGCTCATGTGCTAAGCGTAAGCGAGCGCATGTGCATTTGTGCATGTTCGCGTGTTTACCGTTGCTCTGCTGAGTCAAGTTGCAGCAGGCTGTCATGGAAAAGAATCTGAATAAGGAATAGTGCAGAGGTGCCCTACACACACATACAAAAAAAAACAGTAAAAACTACTACACCAGCTGTAAAGCAATCACAGCGAAAAAAAAACTATTCACCTGATGACGATTGCTTGTGTTGCGATCGAAACGTCGTGATATTTTTTTTCTATCTACGCGGCTTTACCTGAAAGACCCAAAGAATATTATCCAAGATAACTTTTAAAACGGAGCCCAGTGGTATTGTAGGTCGCATCCTGGGCAAAGCAAATAACCTAATGGTAGAGTCACCTGATGACAATTGCTCGTGTTGCTATCGAAACGTCGTGATATTTTTTTTTCTATCGACAAAGCTTTACCGAAAGACCCAAAGAATATGAATTCCTGCAGTCACGAAAGCTTTAAGTCAAGATTTATCTTGGTTAATTCCGCTAAATACTTGATGGATATATTTTCCCCCAAAAGAAAATAAAGAAAGCATTGAGCAAAGTCAACGCTTAACACGAGTCAATAAAAGTTCAACAATCTCCACATCCACCCTCCTACACACACATCCACCAGTCTCCGGCCAGCCTAGCCTCTTCCCCTCTATCTCCACCCTCCTCTATGTCCACCGGTCTCCAATCCATCTCTACCCGTCATCTCCTTGCCCACAGCTGTCCACATCCCGGGGCAAAGCGCTCACCTGCATAACGTCCATGCTCGCCACATGGTACGCTGGAGAGCCCAGAACCTTCTTGGGTAGCCCGGCCACCGTGGCCTCCAGTAGGGACTGCAAAAAGGAGCAAGGCAAGTGCACGGGCACTCATTTACGACATGTCAACTTAAGACACCACGTGACCGAGACCAGGGTGGTGACATGGCCAAAAGTAACACATTTGCCACTTGTTGCCAAGGTTCACGGTTCAAATCTAGTGGCCACTCAGGTTAATACTTCTGGGTGTATTAGCCGTAAAAATACCCCCCTCTATTTAAGAAATAGGAAGATTTCTACACAATTCTGGCTGTCGCCTGATGAGGCTGGTTGTAATTACCGGCGAAACGTCGTAGTCGAATTGTAAATGTTGTGGGTTTACTTTCCCACACACCGGTGTGCTGAACTCATAACTAATTGGCATGTTTTGTTTATTTGACAAAGTTACTGATTGGCCTATGTCGGGTGGTGGCGGGTTTAACGACACATTTATATTTACGAGATCTAACTTTCTTTCGAGCCTAGTCTCAAACAGTGTTAGACTAGAGGACGCCTTTTGGCGTCTCTGGTGTGGACAAATCAGTTTAAAAGACTGCATATATTATCAGAGTATGTTTTTTTTTGCATTCTGACCACAAGTATTGTGGTTAATGCAGACATGATTCCTTGTAAAAGGTTTCAGTTTGGTGTTTCAACATCTCAACACCTGTTTTGTTGCCAGAAAAAAGGGGAAAACCTATTCTCATATTTTGGTACTGGCAAAGGAGGTCCCATGATGTGTATCTATGCTTGTAATAATGATGGGAGACAGAAAGATAAACACATGAATTGGGGAACATACACAGGTGAAGTGGGTTATTTGTGCTCACCATGGAGAGGGAGGCAGGCAGGTTCTCCGATCGCACCAGATGCTGGAGGCTCATCAGCAGTAGTGCGAAATTGTCCGTTCCATGCCGCTCTTTGCGGTTGCCAGCTAGCCATGCCGCATATGTACGCAAGTGCAGAGATGCACACACGCACACAGGGAGAATTCACACACCAAGAGCCACCTGAGCAAGCACAATTACACAATTGCATTTTGGGGAGAGGGTAGCTGACGCATACCCCACATCCGAGCAGTAGCACATTTGCCGCTTGTTGCAGGAGTTCACGGTTAGTATCCAGCGTCTACCACGACTTATATTGGCGGGTACGTAAACATACGCGGTCAGCTTCACAGTGGATGTTGAAGATCCGGTGACATCATTTGTAAGAGTAGGCCAATTGCGTTCCAGTGTTTTGGGATCAAATGAGCCAAAAAAAATTATTAACCAAAAATACCCCATTGGAATGTGTAGTGGTTATCGCCACCCCCCTTCTGTGAAAACTTGGCAAGACCCTGCTGAAAACGTCATGAAACTCAGCGAGGCTTTCCTAGGTACACAAGCATAATAACAATAATGTCTGCCTTTACCTGACTCGATGCCTGCTGCCACGTGGCTCAGGAGCTTATGCCACACCGGCAACACCAGCGAACCTGGCAATGACAACAGCAAGGATTGCAGAAATGAGGTGTGGTAATGATGACGATACATTGTCGAGCGAAAGGTGTCTAAGTATGTGCAGACGGACAGAAATAGTCACCCATAAATTTCACTACCCTGCTTGCAAGGTTCAGGAATTTAAAACAGATGAAAGACCCTTTGATCCTAACAAATAGTGAACGCCTCTCCAACCATATTGAAATGACAATGATAATTGGGACAAGGAATGCATTATTAAGTGGATTATGCTAATTATGGTTTGTGAACCTCACTGCAACAGGGATATCCAAATTGCAATGTGCTAGCAACATTTTTATCATTTTACTTTTGATACAAATTAGTTTATTTAGTAATATTTGGTATTATTATTAAAGGGTTTGTCTGTTACTCAGTAGCTACTAATATATATATTTTTTTTATTCTTATCGGACCCAAACGTGTATGGTATAGCCTCCAAATCTATCTATGGCCTCCATACGTACGTGTTATGATGAAGAGGGTACATTGCCTGAAATGTCTCCTAAATATATATTTCCTTTTAAGGCAGTGTTTTTGATGAATGTGTTGAATTTTTGTTCACGAAGACAAGTCATCTGCCTCCTTGCTATTCCATCACCTGCTGGTGGCCACATCATAGCCCTGTATGTTGGGACACCTCCAACAGAATGAATTCTGCACGTGCTATCACAACTCCACCACTGACTTCATTACAGTCGTGCATTACCACGATGATTGAAATTAGTTTTAATCACTGCGTATATGTGAGAGCATGCGTGTTGCGTGTATGTTGTGTGTGCGTTGCGTGTATTACGTGTGCGTTGTGTGTTGTGTGCGCTGTGTGTGTTGCGTGTTATATTGTGCTGCATGTGTTGTGTGTTACGTGTGTTGCATGTGCGTTGTGTATGTTGTATGTGCTGTGTGCGTGTGTTGTGTGTGCTGTATATACTGCGTTTGCGTGTGCTGTGTATGCTGTGTTTGGGTGTGTTGTGTGTGCTGCATGTGCTGTGTGTGGTGTGTGCTGCGTGTGTATTGTGTTTGCTGCGTGTTGCGTGCAGGCGCTGCTCACTTTGCACATCACTGCCGGCGATGCTGAGGGCGTTGTGTGTGGCCATAATCAGAGTGGGGGCCAGGCGCGTAAACGAGCTCCCCGCCGTGATCGGCACGCTAGCCAGCGGCGCTGCAAAGAGATCGACAAAGACATCACGCACAAAGAATCAAAGCAAAACTTTGTATAAACCTAAATCAAAAACCTGCGTACAAAAATTCACAATAACAACAAATCACTAAACGTAATGGGGCATTTACACATTTTGTGCTTTTTTAGTTTCAATTGTAAAGCTGCAGCTTGAAGCAACAATGGCTGCTTCGAGGAAACACTTTTGTCACAACATAGATACATACCTACGAGTTAAGTTTATTTTCTTTAACCAGTTGAGAACTCAAGGGACCAGGATGGTCTCATTTGCAAGAGTGATATGGGTCACCAAAACGACAAAAGCCAAACAAAGAAAATAAATCGCAACAATGAAGCAGTTAGGCAGGCCTGGGAACACTTGGGAATTCCCCAGGGAGACCTTGAGTCTTGTTGCCAGGGAAAGGGAGGTCTGGACCGTCCTACTCAACATGCTACCGCCGCGACCCTCACCAGGAAAAGCGGATTGAGAAACGAACGAACAATTAAGCAAATAGAACTCAGAACTAAAACAAATATAACACATAAAAAAATTAAATTGTTCAATAAATATAAATAGATGTCAAATAACAAATTTCCTGCAGCACAAGTTGGCTCTGGCAGATTACTTTTCTATTCGTCATTATACAATAACAATTAAGTTACATAAACCATGCAAGAGATATAGGGTGACTGTTGCACTAATATGTAAACAGATACAAGTCAAATGCAATTGCAGGTGAAGATAAGGAATGATTGTTTTCTGCCAGTTAATGTCTTCCATTTAAGGCGTACGTACCCAAGGTCAGCGGGAGGCCAAGCACTGCAATGTCAGGACCCAGGAGCAGATGTCCGATCACCTCACAGCCTCGAAGCTGCATGGCACGGGAGGACACGCGTGCCGACCCCGAGCCCGTACCCAGTGACAGTCGGAAATTGGGCGTCAAGGTCACTGGCAAGCCTGGACAAATGCACAAAACATCATCTCATCAACCACATGGGTGAAAGGTCGTGATATGGCCCAAAGGTACCGAGTTTTCTGATTGCTGCAGAGGTTCACGGTTCAAATCCAGTGGCTGCCCTGGTTAATACTGTGCTTGTCATAGCCATAAAACACTACGCACCATCTGCTGCACAATCGACATTAAAAGACTCTGTGACGTCATTCACAAGAGTAGGCCATCATGTTCCGGTGTCGTGGTCCAAATTTGGCAACTATAAAAAAAATCCCCGCAAATTACTCAAGTGGAATCGACATAGCGATCATCGCCCACGACTGCAAAAACTTGGCAGGACCCTCCTGAAAAACATGATCCAATGAAATTTTCCTGGGTAAATAAGCGTAATAGGAATAATTGAAATGAACCACATGACCACATTCTTAATTGAAGCTCAATTATTTAACCAGGTGAGAACTCGAGATCAGGATAGTGCTGCCCCCTGGTGGTAATACAATTGCAATGCGAGTATGATGCACATCGTTACCGGGCTTCAGTGACCCAGTTGGGGTGGAAGCGGAGGTCAGCAGTTGTCTCGTTCAGCGGTGAGCCCAGGACAAACTGCAGCAGTGGAACACACACCTGGGCATCGTCCGGGGAGAGCAGACAAGGGGTGAGGTTGGCAGATGACGTTCTTAGGGTGGTGCCAACTTTATTTGTTTAACCAGGTGAAAACTCAAAAGAGACGCTGATAGTCTCCAAGACCACCAAAATAAATAAAAAATAAAGTACAGCAATGAGGCAAAGAGAAGTCGGCACAATACAACTGTTCTCACAAGAGAAGCATAAAATATTGCACAAATATGAAACAATTTGAAATTATACATTCCCTGGAGCAGATTATTCTTATACCGATTATAATGCAATCATAATTAAGTTACAAAAAGCATAAACAGATATAGGATGACTTGTACTGATGTGTAAACAAACAAGGCTACATGTCAATTGCAGAGATCAAGTGACCGATTATACAATTTTGCAAAGATCCTGGCACTGCTAATTCCATTGGCTGAATACAATCAAGGCAAAACCTCATGGAAAAAAAATACGTAACAATATTCCACTAAAGTGGATGTTAGGATTCCTGCTGCAGTTGCTTCAACACTTCACCATTGCTTCCATCCGCTAGATCCCGTAGATGTTATCAAGTATATCCCCGATCTCAAAATAATCATCGGCGTAGTTGTGGAGATTATAACAACATAAATAACCAGACGCTAAGTCCCCTTCGTACATCCATCATTCCATCCAAAAGAGAAAAGTATGTGTTACACAACCCATAATATGTTGCTGTTTATACTCTTCAAAACCGTGATGATCATTTTGAGTTACGTATTATAGAATTTTGCATGAAACTAGGACCCCTGTCTTAAAGAAAGGGTCCTTGCCTGTAACCTATGGTAGTTCAACCCTAACGATCGCCTGGCGTCAATCGCAAGAGAAGGCCATTTGTGTTCTTGCAACAGGGTCCAAATTTGTCTAATAAAAAAAATTACCCAAAAATTATTCAATTGGTATTTTACATAGCAATCACTGCCCCCTTCTCAGACTTATGCCCCTTTGTGTGCTGTACTAGTAACGAATTGGCATGTTCTGATTACATGACAAACCTTAATAATTGGCTGTGTCGGGTGGTGGCGGGTTTAACGACACATTTATATTTACGCAATCTAACTCAAGAAACCTGTATTTCAGGCCAGGTGTTGAGTCAATTTGAATCAACAGGGACAGATGCCACTTGTGGGTGACCTTTAAAATATTTGAGATGAGATGGAAGTACTCTGAGATGCTTATGGTGCTTTACCCAAAAGCAAATAATTATTCAACTACTTTAAAGATGGTGATGACCGATAACGAAAATGGACTGAAGGCGACTGGAAGGTGAAGCCTTGAGGTTAATAAGCCTTACCTGCTCAAAGCTGCTTGCCACCTGCTGTTTGAGGCGGCCAACCAGGTGCCACCACGTATGAAGCATGGCCTGGGCCAGCACCTCGACCCGCACCGTCGTCACCAACAGTGGCTGCAGCAATAGACGCAGACGCTTCCCGTTGCTCAGGAGCTCTGCAGCCGGTCGCACACAGCGCGATGAGCAAGCAGCACGCACGCAAAGGCCGTCTCAAGAGGCGAGGCTAAGCCACGTGCCTTCACCGCGACTATTGTCGTCATGACTTTAATCCACGCGGCTTAACGGTATGGCGTTTGCTGCTTGTGTGGTTCATGGTATGGATCCAGCAGTCACCCTGGTGAATACTGCCATGTGTATCAATCCTAAAAATAAAATGCAAGGTCTGCTTCACGATTGATGTTAAAGATCTCGGAACATAATTTGCAAGAATGGGCCATTGCGTGCCAGCAACCTAGTCCAAAATTTAAATTAAACACCGCAAAATACTCAATTGGAAGATGCACAGCAATTCACCCCCTACTCCGTAAAACTGGCAGAAACCTCCTGAAAACGAGTCAAAACACTCAGTGAGGCTTTCCTGGGTGTAAAAAAAACGTGATATAAAAAGTTTAGTGGTCGGAATGAAACATTGCAGATTCATACATTATCTCACAACTTATGCATGCTTTAAATTGTGCATGCTAGAATGTATTCATTATGGTCTATGTAAATGATAAGCGAATTACAGGAAAAGCTCTGTTATCCAGCACTTTACCATCCAGGAATTCTCTATTAATCAACATCTGCTATAGACGGCAATTCAAATCTTCCTTCACGCATGTGGGAAAATTTCCGATAGCCATCCGGCAGCTTTCCGTGCGCTTCTCATAGATCCACTGCTTACAGAAGCTTCAAGACACTGACAAGTGGTGTCGCTATTGGCAGCCTCAATTGTAAACATCCGCCATTGCGATCGCTTTGTGCTTGTACCGTACCCTTAAGTTAAGTTATAAGTGTAGTGTTATAAGTGCGACACTTTAGTGATCTGGGTAAACGCCATGAACTGCCTAACCTAATTTAGTTTCACTGTACTGTATATACAGTATTGTACTACTGTATACTGTACTCTAAACTGCCCCACTGCTTCTATAACATTAACTTAGAATGCTCTACAACTGACTGGTGACTACCTCTGTAAAAGAACTAATTATTTCTCAAATCATCGTTAAAATGGAGACTTCATTTCTTTCTTAAAAATTGTATGTTCTAGCCAAATTTTGGTGAACCAAAAGTTTCACTCAGAAAACCGGCATATTCGATTAATCTCCATTCTCCATGGATACAGGATAACCGCGGCTTTTCCTATAAATGCTGGTTAGATTTGGGCGAGCAGAGTTCACAAAATTTACAATAAAGAGAAAATGAGGAACAATGCACAAAATATATTCTCGAACCGATTCTTGTAGGGGCAAACATTTTTCTGAAATCTGGCACTCCCAGAAGGCTGTGTGGCCGATGGGTTGTTAAAACAACAAGAAGAAGAAATATAGTTTGCTCATCTATTTAAATATAAATATCGTTTGCATATTATATTAAAGACGGCACTGCATCGCACGCTTTCGGATGCGCTTCTGCGGCTATTTGAAACGCTCTTCCTTCCGATATTAGAAAGCCACTGAAGCTATGCACTTCTAAAAAATCTAAGTTGAAAACTAATTTCTTTAAAACTGACTTTTGTGTTTAGTTTGTTGTCCTTCCCCCGCACTTCCGATTTGCATGGTTGACTCCGTAAGGTGCGAAAGAAGTTAAATCATAAGTGTTTTCGTGAGTCAAAATTATCATTATCTTCATTGCTGCTGCTCACCGGGCTCGGAGGTAAAGTTGTCGATGAGGTTCTTCCACGCGGAATAAGCCGCGCTCTTAACCTCCGAGGAGCTGCTACGGAAGCCCAGCTCTGCCAGGTGAAGCACGGCATTGGTGAGCTTCCCTCCTTTGCGCAGCACCTGTGCAGGGCAGCATGGAGTACAGACAACACAGGGCGTATAGTACGGTGCACACAAAACAAGGTGCGTGGCACACAAAGGAGAAGACACACAGAACGTAGTACAATCCTTGAGACTTGGCACACGAGACTAAGCAATGCAGCGCAGTTCAACGTAGAAAAGTGCAGTTTGATGTTCATTGGAGTGTCGAACAAGGAAGTGCTGCAGTGAATGCGCAATGCATCAAATAGACCCTCCCGCACCTCCGATTAACACAGTTGGCTACGTACGGTGTGAAAGAAGTTATACATACATACCGAGTACAAGAGCGTGACGCACAGAGCCCACACGCGCATCACGTGCACCTCGTTCTTGGCAGCGAAAAGCTTCTCCATCTCCTTAAGCAGGTTCTGCAAGGCAACCAAAGTCACGTACAAGCAGTCACACAAGGGCAGCACAATGTCGCACACGTGCACGCACTCTATAAACACCGCTCTTGCTCCAGCGCTGCGTGCAACAAACGACTTGAGATATCCAGGGAGCAGGTGTGTACATACAGGAGTGGAATTATTGTCTCTACCAAACCTATTTACCCAGGAAAGCCTCACCGAGCCTCAAGACTGTTTTCAACAGCAACTTGCACAATATTCGCCTAAGGGTGTGATTGCCATGTATATTTGCAGTAAAATCTGGGCCATGACGATGGCACACAATGGCCCACTTTTATGAATTAAGTCATTTAACGTCAACTGTAAGCAGACTGTGCGTAGTATTTTCTTGGAATTCAATCCGTGAACCTTTGCAACGAGCGGCGAAAGCGTTTGTGCTGGGGCGATGTCACCGGGCCAACCCTGTCGTACGTTCGTGCGCATGCGTAATTTCTCTCACTCACGCTTTTGAGCTGAGCCTCAACGACGACGGAGATAGCAGCGGAGTCGGAGGCTGAGAGCTCCGCCGACGAGCCGGGGGTTAGCAGCGGCATCGCCGCCTCCAACACGGACAGGGCCCGCGCACGCACCTTAGCGATGGAGTGGGCAAGCATAGGCAGCAGCAGCGCAAGCCACGAGGTGGACTTCTGTGTCATCGCACGCGGAACCTGCTGCAACATCCTGCGATCGGGAAGCACAAGCGCACTGTTCATGTCGCCATCCTTCCACGTCAACTCAGTTGTCATCATCATCACATCAATAATGTCACCGTCAATATTCAACAACAACGATCTATCCACTTGAAGATGAAGGTCTATCCAAGCCGGTGCTACCCCTTACGGTCTCCTGATGAAACAAGCGATCTCAATGCTGCACAAGGGCTGATCTCATTGCTCTGTCCATAGTGGTAGATGCTAAAACGTGTTGCCTGCTTTAGCTATATTATGAGTTTCGACCACTAGCCATCATCACTGCGAGAAATGTATCTACCCAAGCTCACTTTTATGTCTCTGATTCGCGTTCTCTGATAAATGTATTATTTTTTTCTTTTTTTTAAGTACAATTCCAAGTATGCACCTCTCCTTGCCTTCAGACATCAGCTTTTGTTTTTTACATCGTCCATGTTTCCAATTCAAATAGATTTGAGGTAATACACAGTGATTAATACATATTCTATAGGCATAAGAGAAAATTCATATTCATGATATAATTAATTATTCCAAAAGCACTCCAACTTGCTCTCGCCAGCCTCTTTATTTCATCAATTTAACCATGGTCCATTTTCAATAAATACCTTAAATTATTTTACATTTTCAGTAATTCAACAGAGATCTGTTCGGAGTGAAATTATACATGTCCATTAATTACTTTTTCTCTTCGGCTCTATTTAAAAGTGTAACGTTGAGCAAACTAGCGTGTGACCACTTCCCGTGTCGAATTTGTGGAGGAAAGAGAAGCCTCTGACAAACCTTAGAATCAGACTTTATCCCCTGCAATAACCAGCATGGCAAAGAATGGTAAAATAACACCCTACGAATGACATGGTGAGGTAAGGTCTTCATTCAGCAGTGGACTAAGAAAGGGTTGTAAATGACTATAATACATTTATTTTGTCACAGTTAACCCAAGCATCATAACTTCACAGTAGTTGCTTCACGGATGCCTTGTGATTTCAATGCAGGATGCCTCTGTTGTTAGCACAGACAAGTGACGGTGCCCAGTGCGATGCTAACCTGCTCAATACTTTGAGAGCCTCATTCTCTACCACAAAGTGAGCCTCCCCTGGCGCCATTAGCTTCTCCAGGAGTGACAGCAGCGAAGACAGCTGTGCAGATGCCACGGGAATGCACGGGTTGATGTCAACCACAATCGCCTCAACCACAATACATCAAGCACACACACCACAGGCACATGTCAACCACAAACTCCACCGCCATAAGCGAAGGCCAACCAAACACACACCACACCATCATAGGCACACATAGGACGCATGCATTTCATTCATATTTATACAAATCAACCACACACACCATTGTCATGTCGACCACCCATAACACACTGCCACAAACAGCACATGTAAACAATACATCACATATTGCATGGCTACCACACTTGATCAATGAAAACCTTTCATCCTTATTGGATTGCTCCATTCAGGCATGACATCTCCTTTTTTATTTTAATGATTTTCGTAAGTATTAAGAATATTCTTTCCGGTATTCCAGATCGCACCTCAGGTTTGTTTAAAAGACAGGATTATGTAGGTCACGATTGTCCTGCGAGCAGCACACCTCATTCTGCAGCGAATCCCTCTGAATTTTAAATACAAACCGTGGAAGCTTAAACAACCTGTCTGTGAAATAAACGCTGCACTACAGCCACTTGTGAGTGCAGTTTGGCAATAGCCCAGTGGTGTAACGTGGTTGACACGGGCGCTGGAGCGAGGAGTAAAAGGGGGCGCCCTGTTCTGCACAGCGCATGCAGACTCAATCGCTACGCCATAGCAAAAGCCTCACTGCTTGTACACCACAACCATGAGATAATTCAATGCGACAAAACACATGACAACAAAACACAATACAACACCATGCAACGTGGCACAATCCCACGCTTAGGCCGGCAGTGATGGGAGAAAGTGCCTGAACCACTACAAGGTTCCAGAGACAAACCTTTGCCTCCATGAAGGTGGGTGGCAGCAACTGCTGAGAGAGGGCCCACAGCACCCTGGTGGAGGTGTTCAGATCACCTGAGCCGTGTGCCACATCCAGCAGCATGCACAGCAGGCTATCGGCAGTGTCATCTGCACACGCAGACATGAAAGCACAAGCTCGTTAGCACAGAGGCACATGGGCGGATCACGAAGCATGTGCGGAGGACCAAGCGGACAGAAAAAAAAAGAGATTCCGCATATAGCTTTGTAGGCCATTGTACTCTTCTGCCAACAGGAGACAATCCTAGCAGACAAGCTCCACACAAATGGCTCACAAACAAGCCCCCAGGACACCTCATCCAGGTTGGATTCAAACCAAGGGATCTTCGACTTGCAAATCCAACCATCGGATCGTGCTGCCAACTGACACCACAGAGAAGAACGTCAATGACATGCCAAGAATTGCATCATTACCGGAGAGAGTAGCAACGAGCAAGGGTTGTGCCAGGCAGAAGCCCAGTGTCCGCAGGGCGGCATTCTGAACCTCCGCTGGAGGCACCTGCTGGGAGCTACCCACTCGTGACTGAGAAGATGGATGGAAGTGGGAAACAAGAGACAAGGGGGCGTTCGGAGACATTGATTATGGGCATGTGGAGATTTTTTTTCATTTGGACCAACTTGGTTTGGGTTCAGCATGAATATAGGTACAAGTGACATGCACACACCTGCAGTAGTGTGAAGAGGTGTTCCGATTTGGGAACCAGTTCCATAACCACCTCACCAGCTGTTTCAGAGCTCAAGTTACTGCACACACAGACAGACATGCTCATCTATTTAACTATTTTAAATTTTACCAGGTAAATCCACTGAGCTATATAGCTCTTTTTTTAGGAAACGATCTGGCCACAAATGATAGCGCAACCAAGTGGCTTATCGTCACGTAGAAATTTATAGTAGCCAAATACTCTAAACGCATGTTTCTAAATGTGGAGGGAAAAACCGGGGGACCCGGAGAAAAATCCACACGACCACGGGCATTAGGGTCGGGATCGAACCCACGACCTCCTGTATACCAGGCAAGGTAGTTAACATCTTGCCACACGAGCAATGCTAGTTGACATTAATACACAAAACGCAATCAATGCTGCATTGCTACGATAATGCACACAGTGCTTGTGTAATAATCATTTCATTATCACATAGTTACCATGTACTCGTAGGTCACTTTTGTGGTGAATGTAGTTATACTACAACTGTCTTCACCATTGGTGCAATTAAACATCACCACAACTTACATTGCCAGGTTTGGGCTGCAACAGTGCAGTGATTTCTCCGCATTATTACCACTGCAATTGATGCTACTTGTAAAACGGACTGAAAGAGAAATTTCATTATTTGCTGTTCATTGAAAAGGACCGAGGATACTGCACTACAGATTCAGGTTAGAGAAAAGACAGTTTAGACACACCATCATTAGTTCTAAACCCTAACTCATAATCTCTGATCCCTATTCCTAAACCCCTAACCCTAAACAAAGCAGCGTCCCTTCATACTTGGTTAACTAAAAGACAAATAAAGACAACACGTAGAGAGGACCATCGATGGGCAACTATAACCCAAACATTTTCTACGACTGGATGAACATATGCGTAGACAATAGCGGCAGAGACTAAGTTTCCATCCCCAAAAATAATCTCCAAAATAACAGTACAGTGGTACCTCGGTATACGTTGTTAATTCGTTCCAGAAGGTAGGACTTATACCGAAAATGACGTACACCAAACGAATTTTTCCCATAAGAAATAAAGGGAAAGGAAATAATCCGTTCCAAAGTATAAGAAATAATATTTTATATATGGCATATTATACATTAATGGGGTTGTATAAAATAATTTAGACACTTCTTTTTACTAAAATGCATACATAAATTAAAATAAATGTATAAATAAATTAAAATAAATTGAAATAAAAATACAATTTAACATGAATAATTCGCAAAAATTTCACGTTAAAATGACAAAAAACACGTGAAAATTCACGGAGAGTTATAGCACGGGTTGTGCACTGAACGAGATCTACTGTACAGGCAGACTGAGGAGTGGCGCTTTGTTTTAGTCGTGAACGGGGTCTACGCGGGTACGCGGTGACTCAACCCGACCCATACAAGTTCTAGCAAGCGGGTCGTATCCCAAGCAAGACGTCGTATCCCAAGCAAGACGTCGTATCCCAAGACATTTTTTGCTCGTCAAAATATGATGTATACCAAATGTGACGTATTCCAAAAGCGGTCGCATACCGAGGTATGACTGTACTTACATATTCGCAAAGAGGTGACCCTAGGCAGACTGATATGTGCACCACAGCTGCATTTCAATTCTTGCTGAGCAGCTACCCCTGACCACCATTGGCCACGCCTGGACAGGTGCAACTAGGAACACAAACTCGGCAGCCCAACAGACATAGCTAAAGTGCATCTTCACCTGGAGAGGGTGAGCAGCGCATCCACCTGGTCATCCGGGGGACCATCCTGAAGCGTGCGGAGGAGGCCCTCCACGGCCGGGAGCGGCATTGCCTATGCACACACCGACAACACACCACTCAGTGTCACTGCTCAAGACTCATGAGGCCGAGTCCATCTATTGCAGTGGTTCTCAACCGGGGGTACGCAGACCCCTGGGGGTACGTGGCAATGTCCCAGGGGGCACGTGAGGTGATTAATGTGTAAAATTATATCATAAATGTAGTAATTGGTGAATAATCAGGTATGAATCTGCTACTATAAATAACTACGATAACATTCAAATCCTTATAGTAACCTAGAATGATATAAAATACTTTTCTAAACTCATTAATAGTAAACAATGTGGGTTTGAAGAGTAACCAGCGAGCGTTTTCGGGGCACAGTTTTGTTCTCATTATTCGCCTTAACGCAACTTTGGACATCACGTGAATTTAGATTTATTTTTTAGCGCAAATCTAGTCTCACAGTGCATTGTAAACCTAAATGATTCAATACATAAATCTAAGTTTCCATAGATGCCCCCTGTGGCACTCGATCTTGACAGCAAATAATCTGCACAATACAGTACAATATTAAGTTTCCAACTATCTGCGCAAAGCCTTGAGCGTCACCCCGGTTTCCTTCCACATGCTAAACATTCCTGAATGGAATAAACAAGTTTGTTGGAGAGCTTACACGAGTGAGGTGGCTCTACATTCGCAAATTACACCTTACACAGATAACTTCTGAATTGAATGGCAAAACATCCGAATACAAGACCCTCTTGTATATGACTAATAGGAGTATTAAGGCTAAACGCTTTACCAGAAGAGACCTGGCCACTAATGATAGTCCAGCGAATTGTCTTATCACGTGGAAATGTATAGCAGCAGCAGCCAAATACGCGTGATATTGATTCTAAACGTGGAGGGAAAAAACCGGAGGACCCGGAGAAAAATCCACACAACCACGGGGAGAGAGACACGCAGACTCCAAATACAGAGCAGCCGTCAGGGTCGGGAACGAACCCACGACCTCCTGTATCCCAGGCGAGGTAGTTAACATCTCCTAGCCACTATGATGATGAAGAGAGAGACAAGCAGACTCCAAATACACAGCAGACGTCAGGGTCGGGAACGAACCCACGACCTCCTGTATACCAGGCGAGGTAGTTAACATCTCCTAGCCACTGTGATGATGAAGAGAGAAAGACACGCAGACTCCAAATATACAGCAGGCGTCAGGGTTGGTGATAGAACCCACGACCTCCTGTATACCAGGCGAGGTAGTTAACATCTCCTAGCCACTGTGATGATGAAGAGAGAGAGACACGCAGACTCCAAATACACAGCAGGCGTCAGGGTCGGGAACGAACCCACGACCTCCTGTATACCAGGCGAGGTAGTTAACATCTCCTAGCCACTATGATGATGAAGAGAGAGACAAGCAGACTCCAAATACACAGCAGACGTCAGGGTCGGGAACGAACCCACGACCTCCTGTATACCAGGCGAGGTAGTTAACATCTCCTAGCCACTATGATGATGAAGAGAGAGACAAGCAGACTCCAAATACACAGCAGACGTCAGGGTCGGGAACGAACCCACGACCTCCTGTATACCAGGCGAGGTAGTTAACATCTCCTAGCCACTGTGATGATGAAGAGAGAGACGAACCCATGACCTCCTGTATACCAGGCGAGGTAGTTAACATCTCCTAGCCACTGTGATGATGAAGAGAGAGACGAACCCATGACCTCCTGTATACCAGGCGAGGTAGTTAACATCTCCTAGCCACTGTGATGATGAAGAGAGAGACGAACCCATGACCTCCTGTATACCAGGCGAGGTAGTTAACATCTCCTAGCCACCGTGGAGCCTGGACGAAGGATTGTATTTGTACGCCTGCCTGCTAATTAAGCTCCTGCAAGTGCAACACAAGACGCATAAAATCTCACCACCTAAGGTTAGTCGTGTACCGACATGTATACAAGATTTAATTACTTGACGACCCGCTTATTTCAGTAGATTATTAAATGTTTCAGCCGACTTGGCCGCATATGGAGAACACTGAACGCTCAAGTAACGTTCACTTCAGGTGGTACCCACGGGTGAAACATTTGGCTTGGGCTTATGGCAGGTGACGTGTAGAGAAAAGGGAGTCCCGATAGACGAACAGGAGTCAGTGACAGAAGAATTAAGACGAAACGAGACGAGAGAAAAACACGCGGGCGCAAGATAGCGACGGGGCAAGGGGGTGACACAGGAGGGACGAGAGAGGGCAGACGGTGGGGAAGGGTCGTGCGTGCGACACAAGGGGGGACAGTGTGCGAGGAGGTTCTCACGGGAGGCCGTGAGACAGAGACAACAACAACAACAACAAGGGAGGCCGACGGAGATGGAATGCGAGAGATTTTAAATCGCTTGCTACGGAACCGAGTGCTCCTACTACAGTCGCGATTGTTACCGCTGGGTGTTGATGTCGCAGTCGTTGCGGGTTGCGTGCTTGCTACTGCTGCTGTTGTTTTGAAGCGGCACGGCGATAAGGTTCCAGGGAGGCGACGACGACGATGAGGAGGACGAGGAGAAGGTGGCGGGCGGGAATCTTGGGTCGCCACTTTCGCGGGAAACGCGAGGGCGCGTGCGCGCAGCTTCCGCTTCCAGGTCACTAAGCCACGCCCCCGCACGGGGTCACGAGAAATGCTTTTTTTAAATCCTTTATATTAAGGTCACTTGCTTGCTGGCTTGCTTGCTTAGGACCGTGCAAATCTTTCGGTCGTTTTTTAACCCACTTCCCGTGATCCAATCGAGCTGACATTTTCCACACAGACTCGTTGTGCCAGACAATTATTGTTCGTGAAAAAAAATTCCCAAAATTTTACACTTTTTAGGCAAAAAAAATGTATTTTACATATATTCAAATAGAACTAATTCATGGCTTTGGCTGAACGTCAGAGTGTAAGAGCCAAGAGCGTAACCCCTCCACAGGCCGTGGCGGAGTAGCGCAGTTGGTAGCGCCCTCGCTTCCCATGCCAAAGGTCGCGGGATTGATCCCCGCGTCCTCCACAGGCGAATATATTTTTAAATCCTTTATATTAAGTTCGCTGCCACGCATATAAAGGATTTATAGTGAAAAACTTTGTTTTTACAGGTTATACTTATTTAATGCGAAAACCTCACAACACAAATATACTCTTTGGTTCTTTCGGTAAAGTCACGTACATGTAGGTATAAAATATAATTATTTTATAAGATAATATTTTATAAAATAAAAATATTTTATCAAATAATTAAAATAAATTTATTTATTTTATTTTAAAATATTTTCTAAAATATTATTTTATAAAATAATTTTATTTTATACCTACGTGACTTTACCGAAAGAACCAATAATTTATTTTATAAATTAATTTTATTTTTCTACCTACGTGACTTTACCGAAAGAACCAAAGATTTTATTTTATAAAATAATTGTATTTTTCTACCTATGTGACGTTACCGAAAGAACCAAACATTTTATTTTATAAACGAATTTTATTTTTCTACCTACGTGACTTTACCGAAAGAACCAATAATTATATTTCATAAAATAATTATATTTTTCTATCTACGTGACTTTACCGAAAGAACCAAAGAGTATGGATTCCTGCAGTCACGAAAGCTTCAAACCCACAACACAACTCTCATAATAGAGGTTTTTTTTTTACTTTGGATTGGATCGTGTAAATTTAAATGCGTCCTTAAACCCGACACAGCCAATTAGTAAGGTTTGTCGCGGAAAACAGAACGTGCCAATTCGTTACGAGTACAGCACACCGGTTGTGTGTCGGAGAGCAAATGCACAACATTTACAATCTGAGTGGATTTGCTCTCCAACACACCGGTGTGCTGTACGAGTAATGAATTTCCACGTTCTGTTTACGTGCCAAACCTTACTAACTGGCTGTGTCGGCGAGTTTAACGACGCATTTACATTTACGCGACCTAATCCAAAACAAAAATAAAACCTATATTACGGATATTGGTCGCGAAAGCCAACGTGTAACAACGTGTGTACGAAACAATCGTTTTAAATCGGCGTTCGAAGTGTTCGCAACGCTGCGTGAGACACGAAATCGTCGCTGTTCGCAGCAGGTGTGGAAGAGGCCCTCTGGGATCGAAGGAAGATCGTCTCTGGGGGAGGAGGGGTGGTTGTTGTTGATCTCCCACGAGAAGCTTATGGTGAACCCTGAACCGCATCCACTGTGGTAGCATTCCTATATATGACCTCTATACTGTAAAATGGTTTTGTTATGAACAGCCGGGTAGTGGTGGTGGCTGCTGCCTGTCGTGATCGTGCGTCAAGGAGTTGCCGTACCCCGGACTAGCCAGGAGGAGGCGGTATAGCGAGTGGACTAATCGCCATCTGTGTCCATCTGTACAGTGATAAAGTGTTGCCCCCTCGCACAAAACATGGGTTTTCTCCGGGTGCTCTAGTTACCATCCACGTGTATCACAAACACTGTTCGTTAATTGGCTGAATTTTTTAACATAAAACCCCAATGTAGGATCAGGACCCTCCTGAAAATAGTCCTACGACTCAGTGTGGCTTTCATGTATAAATAAGTAAATTACAGTATTATTTAATTGAACTCAATCATAATAATGTATTATGCATTTTCAGTTCATATGTGTCCCTGAATACGACTGCAGTGCATTGGCTTCACTCTTATTGGGGATGAGCAGTGAATCATACCACTTCTACACTATGCATGGTCATTGGGTACTGCACAAGTTTCAGCATTATTAGGAATCTTCAGTGTTGCGTGGTCAGGTTCAACTCAACATGACCTGTGGTTCAAAATGTATTAGACATCATTCAGCATTATAGTCCTGCTACCTTGTGCATATGACAACTCTGTGGAATGGTGCCATTCGTTATTAGACGTAATCAGTAGTTACCAGACATGACCAGTGTGAGATGGTTTCACCTTCATTATACATCATCCGTGCTGAACAGCACTGGTACTCACACTGATGCTTTCAATGGTTGCTGAAGAACCTCTATCAATTATATAATTTAAAACTAGGGCTGACCGATTTGGGGGAAATATCTAATTGCGATTTTTCTGACAGATATTGTGATTAAAACATTTTAAGCCAAGCTTCAGTTCATAATTCACTGTGTAATAGATTTAAACATGTGATGGAGCATTACCATATGATACCATTAAAATATGAACTGCTCTTTATTTTCTCATGCAAGGATGAGCACTTAAAAGATAGTAATTGCTTCCAACATGTATTTATTTAAAAAATAAAATGAAATAGAACAATCAAACATAGAAAAATTGTTAAGTTAAGTAAATAAAGTTATAATAACAATAAATAATACTATTCGAATAAGAAAGTAATAGGACTTTTAAATATCAAAAAAATCGCAGCCTTTGCGATTTGCTAACCGCATTGTTTCAAATTGCGATTTCGATTTGAAATCGATTAATCGTTCAGCCCTAATAGAAAATATTGGTTTCCGGGTGCACCGAAAACCGTTAGAAAAGGTTTACGGTTCAATGGGTTAAATGCTTTTTAAAAGTTCGGATTCGGGTAAACGTTTGAAAAAACCCGGTTTTAATTTTCATATTGGCTAAGTAAAAAAACTCACGTATACTGTAACTTAAATTGAAGGCTACACCGGAGGCTTTTGTTTTGTTAAAATTATCCTAAACATTCTTGAACGTGCAACGTTAATTGCACGCGGTCTTTGCCTCCCAAGAGGGGCGGGGGAGAGAGAGATGGGGGGCTCATTCGCACGCCCGTGATTGGCTCCCGGCGCACCCCCCCGCCCCCCGAGTGACGTCACGGAAAGCGCTCCGACCATAAAAGGAAATCCGCACGCGAATTCCTAACAGTTGCCGCTCCACTCACGCAGCAGCACCACGCACGCAGCACGCTTTGTCTCGTCGGGGGGGAGACATCAACATCATATCTGAGAGCTCAAAAAATACCTCGCGGCGGTCATGATGGGACGGGCGCAGTTATTGGCAGGAATCGCTCGCTGGGCTCGAGCCCCCGGGTGGTCTCCGGTGGCCTCGGCGCGCTGGGCGAGCGGCGGGGAGGCGGCCGGAGGCGCTGCCGAGGGCACCGCCAAAGCAGCCGGGGCCGGGGCCGATTCTCCCGGGGCGCCCGTCGCCTTCAAGCCGTTTCGCCTGGAGGGCAAACCGGGCAAAAGGCATTTGTGGTGCGCGTGTGGCTTCAGTCGTAACCAGGTACGGCGGGGTTGTGTCGGGGGCTGGGATCGCACGGGCGGCAACTTTTTTGCAAGGGGGTCAACCAACGTGACCGGGCCCGAGGTGGTGTGGGATGGTGTGGGATGGTGCCCTCCTTAGGGTTCCAAATCCTCGTATCGTGTCAGAAATAGTTGCTGGAAGGTGTATGCGTAAAACCAATTCGATAACTTGTTTCATCGTATGTTAATCTTTTACAAGTGTTCGCGTCGATGAGCGTGTACGTAACGTTGAGAACGACGATGGGAAATGTAGCCACCAAGTGTGTCTAACATGTGTTCCCCAACATCCTACTAGTGTAACATTTTGCTTTATAGCCAAATAAAGGGGGGGGGGAGACGATTATTTCAGGTACATTTAGACACCAAAAAAACCCACAATTAAATTTCGATTTAAAGCTTTCGTGACTGCAGGGATTCCTCTTCTTGGTTCTTTCGGTAAAGTCACGTAGAAGGGAAAAAAAAAATAATGGCACTGCTTTGGAAAGTTTCGCAATCGCCTGAACAGTGACCGGGGCAAGTTTAGAGTTCGAACTCTCCCACATTTCGCCCTCAAGCCCCAGCTTCCAGACGCTTCGCCACTAACAATACAACACACACGTTTAGCTTTGTGTTCATAAAAAACACACGTGGGATTTTTGGCCTGAAGAAGAATAGCACAAGGTGTGCATTTAATTGTATTTACGGTCTTTGCGCAGCTGTTCCATGTTGCACATACGGTGTACGGCGCCTTGTCAAGGTCACAGTGGCTTCTTGAGTCGAGAGCGTGCAATACCGCAGTTGCCGTGCACTCTCCGTGCACCTCCGACAAGCACGGACGATTCACGTAGGGTGCGAAAAAAGTCCACCGCCTGCAGTGTTTCCACACTGCTCTTCGCCGATTGCAACTCCTCAAAGGCTGTGTAGTTTGAGATTTTCAAATAAAACCTCCATAAACTTCCTCCACCGCAGTCCGAGACACACCTACGCCTCCGAGAGTTTAAGCGGTTCTTGTGTTTGCAGTGCAAATTTCGACACGTGTTTATTTAGGTGATAATCCTTTTCCGTTTGTCCAAGGCGCGGGCGACCCAACCAACGGGGAGCGCCTTGAGAGCGCCGTGCAGTAGTAACATGTATCACACACACACATCATTCATAATACACTTTTTGGGTTAGATCGCGTTATTTATAAACGTGTCGTAACCCTCCACCACCCGACACGGCCAATCAGTAAAAAAGTGTCACGTTGACAAAAGACAAACAGTTAACTACTTTAGCCCACCGGTGTGTTGAAGCGTGAAACCACAACATTTACAATTTTTGAGTACGACGTTTCGCTGGTAATTACATCCAGCATCATCGCAATTCGCCAGAATTGATTATGCTGGATGTAACGCGATCTAACCCAAAATAAAGCTTCTTATGGATATTAGGTCGCGAAAGCCTACGTGTTAAACTGAGGCAGTTCTACATGTAAGAGAATTCCAAATCTGAGGGCCGATAAAGGCCAAGCTCCAGAACGCTTTTTTTGCCGAAAGCATGGATGACGAGAGGCGCATGGTACGTGATGACCTCAAAATCCTTACAAGGGTTGTAAAGCTGCACAGTTTACCGGTCAAATGTTGAGGCTATTGCTGAAAGATGGCTTTGTAAATTAGGAACGATAATTTGAATCGTGCACAGAGCTCAATTGGAAGCAAGAGTCGGTCCAGTAAAGTTTGGGAGGTTGGGTACCAACAAGAACGATGTGGGTCAAACGTTGCACACAGGCGTTCTGAATGCATTGGCGTCGTCTTAACTCGACACCGTAGAAGACCCACGCACAGGGCATTGCCAGTCGAGACGAGATGTTCGGAACGATAGCACGATCTCAGTCCGGGAGGAATGGTTTCAGCTTTTTTATGTCTTCAGTGGAGCAGAAACAGCAGTGGATTGATTATTATCCAACACCAAGCCTCTCGAGTCCTATATACTAGTTGGGGTGTCATTCAATTGACAGTTAAAGATGCTGGCATGAGGCACGTTAACAAGTTTAGACTCCTGTCCAACCAGCAAATATTGCTTTGTCCGGGTTTCAGCCAGTTATCAGACATCCAACTATCGATATCCAACAGACAAGCGGGCAGGGTAGTAAAGTCTTGCTTGTCCCAGATTTCAAATGTCATAAGCACACTGGTGAACAGAAAGTCCATGTCCTCTGATCAGATCTTCCGTGGCGGAATGTAAATAAACGTGATAATACCGATCCCTGTGGAACTTAACGCGACTGGCTGGGCTGAAGAAAAATTAGAAATCGATGATGATTTTTTGGGGAACAGATGGTCGAGAATTACCTTAATCCTTTGACAGCAGTCCCGCAGATTCCCACATTCCACTTACAAATGGCAGTCGCCCGCATTCATCATTGTGGTATGCGTAAAACATGTTGCTGGAATAGGCATTTGAAACCATGCTCTTTTATTCAAGATAGCATCACGTGTATTCATTCCCATGAATCTGTGTTGGTGCTAGGCATATGCAAACGAAACAAAGGCATCGTGCACCCCACAGCGGCAGTTTATTAATCTTCTCCATTCACGTGTCAATTGATTAAGTTGATTTACCGTCTATCTTGGTGATTGTCAAAATGTGAACATTTAGGCAAACACCTGGGTCGTAGACTTGCGGCAAACCCATTTCTTGTTGCATATGACTTTTGCTTTTTTCTCTTCATGTATCTGCCTTATCAAGTTCTCACGTTTGCTGTAGTTACTTTCCAATGGTAATGCCAATACCTTCTGGTCTGCAAATCTAAGACCGTTAATGTTTTCTAGGTGTCAACCACCAGTCGCAGCAAACCATGGAAATTCGCCATTACGCACATTATACCTGTCAAACTGAATGCATATCTACGTGATGTATTTGCATGTACAGCCCTTTTGTCAATCCACTGCTGGATGAGCCCCCCCCCCCACCACTGGGCAGATCGTCAGCGTTATTTCACGCGGGTTGGTGGAGTGGGAAATTGAACTTAGGTCGTTCGGCTCCGAGATAATCACTGCTGCACCCTTTCTGCATGGAGTAAAAGACCAACAAGCATGTAGGTGTGCAACCCACCTCAACGCAGTGAGGAATAGATGGAGTTTTATGAATTGTAAAAAAAATACATTTGTAAGGGGCATTACATCAGTAGATCCCTTAGCCGATATGGTCAAGGGGTCACCACTGATGCCTTGGCTTCTGCACATCACTGGTGATTTAATTTGTGCCAATTTGCGTAATTTGTATCACTGGTTTCAAGATGCAAAGTGAAGTTTGTTTTCACGGAAGGGTTTTAATTCCTCACTGAATATTTTCTGGGTGATTGGGAGCTAAAAAAAAATCTGGGAGGGATCACGTGACAAGTAGCCACAGCGAGGACAGGTACTGCATGTGATGTGCCGAGTGAGGAAATCTCTTGGTCGCCGAGTCTAACTTTCACGTTTTCTGACTCTCCCTCCTCCCCCATCCCAAAGCCGTTCTGCGATGGCTCTCACTTCAAGGCGCGTTGGAAGGGGGAATCCAAGAAGTGGCCCGTGCTCTTCAAGGTGCCCGAGAGTGGCGTCGCGTGGCTCTGTCTGTGCAAGCAGACAGGCAAGCCACCCTTCTGTGACGGTGCGCACAAAAAGATTGGCACGGCGCCATCCGAGAATCCTCCCTCGCAATGACAGGCTTCTGGGTGGCGCAGGCTGCTCCTGTCAGCTGCACAGGGGGCACAAGAGCCTCGCCGACAACAGGGCCCTCAAGTGCCACCTGGTGGTTATGCCATTGTCGTCCATCGCCTGCTGTGACGCCGACACGGCCCAAACAACACCCAGTGGTGGACCCTCATTTAGAGCCAGTGGGGGCTGGGGCTTGCTACTAAAAATGCAGAGTAATAATACCTCGATGATACTTTCCTGCTCAGATTATAAACTGCATACACCCCTTCCCCACCCCCCGCAGGCTTCCATGACCCAATGTCCACCAGATGCCACTTCTGACACAATCGTTATGTTAATGCAAATGTGAAAAAACTCGCCAAGCTCACCTCAAAACTTAAACCTCAGTCAAGTCAAATGTTCTCACTCTGGACCCATCTGTCCATTGTGATGGTATTATTTTATCCTGTCTTGGCACGTTAAATAATCATTTACTTGATTTGTGTGAATGTTGTTTATATAAGTCACAAAATAAAAAAAATCTTCAATGGAAGTGTGCAGTGTCTGTGGGACAATAATGGGATGCATGGACACAAGTTGTGCATTTTCACTGATTAAACGACTAATCAACACGGAGCCCATGTGACCTCTCATACCATGTAGCCATGGGGTCTGGCAAAAACCAGTGGTCTGCAACAGCTGTGTTACGACAGACCATGAAACACCTGGGAGATTAAGGCATGACCTAAGATAATATGGCACAGCAGTGGCGAAGTGGAGTTATAACTCACCAAGCCGTTAAACCTTGGGTACTAATTTAACTTGTGATCTAATTGGAAGTTTCCATGCCATTTGCCCTCTAAGACAGGGCAACCTGCTACCCGTGGTCTCGACTTCAGTTTCATATGGCCTATAGCCACGTGAGCCCTACCACAATATCCACTGGAGGTATTTCTGCATCCCCAATTCAATACTAGACGAGCATACTTTTGGAAACGTGAACTTTAGTGCACTGAATCACTTGTCACTTTCAAGAGCCTCGTGTTCAGAGATGTAATCAAGGTGTGTATATGGTAATGTGCTGTGCCGACCAAATATATTCCAGAGTCCTGTTTGATCTGCAGTAAGGAATGCTCCCCACCCTTTTTCTAGAGTAGAAGGGAAGGAATTGGCTTTTTCCAAATTTGGGAAGCAATATTTTGCACCAAAGAAATATCAAATGCCAGTGATATGGGTACCCTTAAATTCCCCCCTATCTTTTTTATCAAAACGCCACATGCCCAACTTTCACAAATTGAAGCATGATGCACGAGACTTGAAACGTATCGGCAGGAATTATCAGGATAATCTCGATTCTAAATGGACAACTGTATCACTGCAAGCACCTGAACGCCTTCTCACAGGTGAAATTAAACAAGCTTGTACATATGCAGGCTTGAAGGCAGAGCAGTGAATCGGCTTGGGGAAGTTGCATTCAGAGAATGGAATGCAGGGCTTGGTGTCACATTGGAGGGTTGATGTCCACGTCAGTTCTTGCTGGCAACACTGCGTTTAATCAATTCAAGTGAAGCTGCCCCCTCCATCAGACATCAGCTGGGTTGTCAGGAGGGAAAGGACAGGTTTGGGGACTCTGGCCAGCAGCAACCTGAAGCCCTATCGTTTCAAGACTGCGCAAAAACAGTATTTGTTGCTGCAGGACATCTTATGCAAACTGATCGGACTATCTGGAGAACACTTTAAAGTTGGTAAAACTGCTAATTTTAGTGCAGTCACTTATTGCAAGCGACGTTAATGCGTGCCTTTCCAGAGGTGAGGAAAGTTTCCCCAACTCTGCTGTAGGAAGTGTTGGCCAAAGCATTCCCTTCCTAGACGGTGGTTATCGGTTTATAATCATTAATGTCTAAGTGAGTTCTCATTCTTGTCACCACTTGATAGCATATCCACACTTCATATTCATACTGTCATTGACAAATCGAGTTTTGCACACAATGCACTGGGGTGGAGCCTGGTTGCTGAAAACACTGAATTTAAGTGTTGGCCATGGACTCGCATTGTAAACAAGGAATGCGGTCCACCCAAATTAAGTGGTGTGGTGGTGCATTCCTTAAGGCAAGAACCATATAGATTAGTGAAACTCCCAAAGCTCGGAGTGCAATTCAACCACAACGGTACAGCAGGAAGGTTCATGAACAATTGTGTTGTCCTCATACAAGTGGGGTTTGTTTAAGCACTAGTTTACAATTTTAGGAACTTCCTCAAAAGTATTTATTGGCAAGGCTTTCCTGGATAAATCTCATGATCCATCCACGAGAGGTTGAAGACATCTCCAATCTATTACCCGATTGTAAATAAATTGAGCGATTACAAGATACCTGTAAATCCTCACAATACCAGCTGATACAGTCCCAGGCAAATGGCCAGTTACGGTTGGACAGAGCAAACCTAGATCCTGCAGGCACAAGCACAGACAGTTTAGTACAGTGTCCAGGCGAGTTTAAAACCTCACGAGGTTCATTCAGACGGGCACCATTCCTCGCAAGCCGGAATTCATAGCTGATGTCATTTTTTACAACTTTCATGTCATTTAATTCTTCAAAAAATTTGATTAGCACAAAAATATGTAAAAAAATATTAAACTGCAAAAGACATTTAATTACCCATTTACACTTTAGGAAGTATCAGGTACAAATTTGTACAAAAATTGTACACATTATTACGCAACTGGGAAGAAAAATCACCCACTGTACATCCTACAAACCAGACTTGTTTCCCAGGAAAACGTGTAGAAATAAATTAGAAATACAAACACATCTGCTGGGCCTCTTCAACGTACAAAATGAAATGAAAATGTGAGTTAATATGCAGAACCCCATTGCGTGTTGAGCAGGACGCAGGTGTGCTACCATCGTGCCCCCCCCCCCCCACTCCTTCCCCATCGCGACATGCACGGGCTAAGACCAGGGGCCGGGCCAGTGCTCAGCAAACCCCCTACAGGAATATTTTCAACTGCGTAGCGCTACAACACAACATGCCCATTACCCGCGACATGATGACACGTGCACAACGTGAACGTTTCGCTCGTTCGCCACGGAGATGATCGACCTTTCGAACAGAGACGCTGCAGAAAGAGCTTCGAGGAAGAGAATGGAGGAGCTTCCGGAAGCGGTCGCACCAACGGCCTTTTGGAGGCCCCTCGCCAAAGAGTGGCATGGAAGATGCATCGTGGAGGAATCTTCGTGAATGAAACCCTAATCAAAATAAAATGAAGAGGGCATCACGAAGTTTTCTGGACGAGCCCACACAAAAGTACTGAATGTAAGATCGATTGTGGAGACATCTCAAGGAGCCCGCCACGTTGCGACCCTTTCATTGCGCGCGTTTTACGTTCGATGGCCATGCTTGTCATTGCTAGTGCATACGTGTGTAGTGCTTCAGTGTTGGTAAGGCAACGGGCTAAACGGTGCCCCGATGGCACAGCGACACGTATGGACACGGGCACGTCCACATGCGTTTCGCTCGCGTCCCTGAGCAGAACGTTTCAGAGGCTCGTAGGAACATGCCACCGAGCTGCCTCCCCGAAGAACTATTCCCACAGTACAGTTCTGATAAAACCCATGCAAGTTTGTGTGCAGGGCGGCTAAAAAAGGCCTGTGCTCTTTTTTTGTATTATGGGGCAGAGGAAGCTGTGGGGAGCGTGGCCTTTGTTGGGCAGTTTGCAGAGCGCCCTAAGGTGAGGTGTGGCCAGTGCATTTAAATGTACAAAGATAACACAATAACACAGATTGAAATAATTTCCTGACCTGGGCAGTAAAAATCCTGGAGATAGTCGGAGAATGGGGTATGGGCTGGTTCATGATGTTCTCAGGCTAATTTCCCATCTGGATAATTTGTTTGAAAGTAGCTATGTTGCTGCTCATTTCTGAACCAAAATGTGTTGAATAACTGTATGGGTGTTTGTCGCTACACTGGCTGTTGTACATTTCTTAAGTGGTTCATACAAGATCATGGAATATGTTTTTTTGCGTTGCACCAGTTTGATGGTAAATGCAAATCAGTCTCCAACAAAAATCTGATTCAGTCTGAAACACGCGAGTTATCACGAGGTACGGAGAACCATTCTCAGCATGCAACAAGAAATCAAATTTTTCTCCAGCAACAACCAAAGAGTTCCTCCAGGATATTCAGGAGCCAACATATTCATAATGGTTGTCAGATCTTTAGGCAGAAATTTAAAGAACTTAATTTTTACCACTTCATTAGCACTCATTTGTCTCCCAATTGTGCACGTTTGTTAATTTCATAGGTCGAAACATTTGCTATTGCATACAATTGCATGAATTGTAAATAACCAATTCTCAAATGACAAATTGATGCACGCACCGCAAGCATAAGAATCAGTTCTATTCCATGAATGTTATGCCACCGACTATCAAATGTTGGCGATCACTAACTGCGAATGCATTTTCCACATACAGTTGAAGTTAGAGATGGGGTTGAATTTACGTGTTAAAAGATCGATGTGTAATCACCAGGACGACAGCTGGAACAATGGCCAATCATTTTAGCTCCGTCGCCAAAATCTGCGGATGGAGAAGCCAGGGTGTGAGACTGCCCACCGCCAACTTCGACTGCACATCCTGTCCATACTGTAAACAGGTGGTGGTAGTTACACGTGCAATCACGCGTAGTTTCGTGCATTAGAAAAAAAGGTATACATACAATAACGTATACATTACTGGCACCACAAATTAATCACTCATGAAATAGTTCTTTCAAGAATAGCAAAAGGTGGATATTAAAAAAAAACAAGTATCCTAGGCATTGAGATCCCATGCTGGGCGAGCTCCTGCCATATCATCAATGGCAGATGGAGTTTATAGAGTTCAAGAGCCAGCGTCTTGGGTTGAATGAAGAGGCACCTGGGTCAGCTGACGAGGCCCCCACGACACGGGCAAGATCTAATGCACCCCCGCCTTTACACTTTGAGGAAAACAAAAATAGTGTAAACATGGAAACATTTCATCGAAACAATACCTGAAGATGAACGCGTCTGTCTGTGGAGACCTCGGGGAGATCATTGCCGGGTAAAAATGGGTAAAAAGCGACACCATCAAACCTCAGCCGCAATGATCAACGTTGAGGCCCAAAGCACATGGGGAGGGGGCCCTCGATCCCCAAACGGCCGCTCGTGCCTTCACCGCAACCGCACGCACGCAGGGCCTCGAGGTCTAAGGCGCGTGTCGGCTAGCACCCCCCTCTTCTCTCTTCACACACCCCCATTGCGTTTGCAATAATCTCATTTTTTAATACGTATAATTTAGCTTTGTTTATAAAAGATCTAGTAGTGCTAAAAACCTGATTTTCCACGAGGCACAACTATAAAGGTATTTGCTACCATCGGTCTAAAACTGTCGCGCGCGAGGGCGGGGGGGCGAGCGGCTTCCAAGATGAGCAGCGACGCAGGCGCAAAACGGGCACGGGCGGTGGCAGCAACGTCATTCGGGTCGGAGTTTTACAAAATGAAGAGGAGAGAAACAAGGCCAGGCATGTGAGTCCCTGCACTGTTAACTTTCCCCTCGCACCTTTTCGCTTGTGACGACTCCTGTGGCCACATCCAGTGTTTGTGCACAGTGCACAGACTTCAGTTAATGCTACACGGCATGCAAGCAGCCTTCTCAGGGACAAAGAGAGGCCTGGGAACGTGCATGGGGGCTCGACTCGGGCTTGCTCATGAGTGACCGTCGTGCGTGTGGCAGCAAGAGTTCACTCGCTGCGAATGCGCACGGCTCTGAAACTCGGTCGTGGTGTTCGCGACAGGCAAAAAACCACTGCCCGAGAGAGCCGTATGCCAACGGCCTGGCCGCCAATTTCAGCGTGGTGCAGAATTGGCAATGCAGCGCAGGTTTGGGAACGGCGCAGTTCTACTTCAACGAATACCGCGTCTCGTTCAGATTGCGGCGACCACGCTCTCTGCTGCTGGGGACAGATGCTGCCCCCCCAGTCCAGCAGCTGCTGGCAGCGTGAACCCCAACGGCACAAACTCGCCGTGACCGGGACTCGCAAATTGAGGCATTGTGCCTGGCGTAAAGGGAACCTGTGCCTGCACACAAACTACCATAGTAGCAGATTTCATTGTCTGCTGCCAGGACTGAATATATCCCTCTACGGCTCGGTCAAGAAGATGCGTGCAAGGGAGGTGTCGATGTGCATCAGGGGCCACAATATGCTGGCCTCTCATTGGTGAATTGTGCAGTGGATATAGGGAGGGGGGTGGGGGCACTTGCAGGGATGATTTTCCTGGGTTTGAGTCCTTGTCCATGAATTTCTGTAACTTAAGCCCCCCTCGTGACGGATAGACCATTTGCAAAATAAAATCCCAATGTGGGCCCCCCCCTAAGCACACACGTGTCCATTTCAATACGGAAAAACATAAATAAAATTATCAAGTTCATAAAAACAAATAAACTTTACTTTTTCTATAAACGTGGTCTCGTCAGCTCCGCCATATCCTGGGCCAAGACGGGCGACTGCTAGTCCTACTATCCACAATCCGTTTTTTGCGAAAATCCAAGCAATTTTCCCACATTAAGTTAAACCTAGTGGGCCACTCGCTAAATATTTATACATTCTGGGAATTGTAAAAAATATATATAATACCACTCAAAAGCTTGCCTCCCACTCATCCTCACGCACCATAAGAGCAGTGAGAAAGTGGAGCGGCAGGCGTGCAGAGCAGCCGTTGCCGAGACCATGCCAGAGGAGGTAGGTACATTTTTGGTGTCTTGTCGATGCCTCTCCGTGTGCTCCCCCAAGTGAGTTCAGTTTCTCTGGGCTCAGCTCAAGTAATCGGTGATCTCAACGGCCGTGCGACGAGGGCAAGCCGTCACCGCTGCCATCTCCATGCCAGCATAGCATGACATCCCCCACCCCTGCCCCGTCTTCTTCCTCTTCTCCTCAACCCCCTGCACTGCTCACGCTAGCTGCCCTGCGCAAACTCCGCAGATCCGGCCCTGCGGAGACGACCCTTCAGCTTCCATCGCCGCTGCCGGGGGTGCCTCTCTCGCTGCGCTTCTGTGGTGGACGAGAAAGTGGAGAGCGCAGAGGAGTCAGGGGGCGATCATGGGGCCAAATATGCATCGTCGGGCTTTTACAAACATATAAAGAAGAAAAAAAATCTATATTTGAGCCAGGTGATGTCGTACATGTGAAGGAGCAACTTCAAGAGTTTAAATATTTGCATCTTCAACCCAAACCCAGCCAATATTAGCTCAGTGTACCAGTCCACATTGTTACTGTATACCATATCGAGACAAAGTCAAGCCACATCTGCCAGTGCATGAAACTTTTGAAGAAAAAATGCAGCTTATTTATTACTAACTAGCTTTATACTACCCGGCTTCGCCCGAGACTTGAATTCTTGTCTTGGATTAATACACGGCCTACGCGGAGGGTGGGGGTGCGTGACGTCAGCAGGCACACAGCGTGACGCTGCTGCATGCAGGTGACGTCACAGATGTGACGTCATCACAGATGTGACGTCATCACAGATGTGATGTCATCACAGATGTGATGTCATCACAGATGTGACGTCATCACAGATGTGACGTCATCACAGATGTGACGTCACCGCTCACTTGCCGTGCAAAATATATCCATTATTGCGCCCCCCACCCCTCCCCCCTCAAAAATACAAAAGTCTATTTTTATACTTTTTGCATTGTGTCCAGTCTGGAAGCTACCCACATGCCAAATTTCAAGTTTGTTGCATGTCGGGAAGTATGCTAAACATTTCGAACAGGCACACATACACAAATTTCCATTTTATATATATAGATATATCAGCAAGATGTCAATGCATGTACACTGCCATCACTGGGCCACATTGAAACCCAGGAGGTTTGGCATTTCAGAGCACAAGATGAAATCAGCTCGATCGACCAACCCTGCCACCAAAGTGGTTTGGTCTGCAGGCGTGCGCCGCCACGGCCGCCACCACGCCCGCCACCGCCGCCACCGCCACCTAGTTTACAGCCCAAATCAAAGGAGAAGAGCAAAGCAGCAGCAGCAGCTTGTGCAGACGGTTCACCTTCAGAGCAGCCTGGTCAGAATGAAGACTCAGGAAGGGGTTTGCCTGGCCAGGAGCAGAGACGGGCACAGGGGTGCCGCCCAGGGGGGGCAGCGTGCACGATGGGCCCCCCGCCAGGTGCTGCTCGTGAGAGGCGGCGTTGCTGGGGCCCTGCTGCTGGTGCTGCTGCTGGTGCTGCTGTTGCTGCTGGTGCTGTTGCTGCTGGTGCTGCTGCTGCATGAGGTGGTACATCAGTTGCTGAGGATCCTGTCCAGTGGCCATGCAGGATGGGGGACTCAAATCAGTAATTGTAACTTCTATGCTCCTGTTATCTATTCAAGCAACCTTCACCAATTGACACAGACCAGCGTAGTTAAGGATAGTCAAATAACCCCCATGTCCCGCATGATGTAGGGAGGCCCTTATCTATCAACGGGTTGACAAACGGGCTTTACCTGGACAGATTCATTCCAAATTTTGATTTAAAGCTTTCGTGACTGCAGGGATTCATATTCTTGGTTCTTTCGGTAAAGTCACGTAGAAGGGAAATAATAAAATATAATAAATATTAAACAATAAAAGATTCATTCCATCCTTGTGCATGGCAATATATTCAGGGCTTCAGGAGAGAGTTAGTGCAATTTTGCTATTCTTCCTCAGTTGACGGAGCGTAGACCAGTGGTTTATTATATGGTCCGTAATTTGGGTTTCATGGGCTCAATCGCACTGTGGCTTGTATTTAATATTCCAATTATGAAGGAGGTGTGCGCATTGACCTATTGTTCTGATGCAATTGACGGTACACATGTTAGTTATTACACTTATGGTTCACTCTAAATTGCATCCGCACAAACAGTGGCAGATGCGAAGACCTGATGCACAAATGGAACATTTACAACTCTCCAGTAGTGTGCGACTGGTCATCCAGAATAGAGGCCGTACAACCATATAACGACGCAATGCCCGATCCACAAATGCAAAGGAGACATCACAGCGATCGATACACTCCGCTGCTCCCGATGCGGTTATCTGGCTTGACCACCTGAATGTGAAATTGTAGTTGTTGCTCTGCATCTACGTCAGCCATACGAAAGAAGAAAATAACGCTGCAATACACAACAGTCCATGGTGGAGGAGGGGGGCTTGAGGGGCCCTGTGTAAAATCATTACACGTAGAAAACTAAACTTTTCTTAGACGACTGCTTTAGAAATGGCACGGGGTAAATATGCAAACAGATACAAAATACACTTGGGTACGAAAATTCCCTTAAATGTTAAGGTTTTAAATAATGGATTATTACAAGGTGTAAATACTCCTCTATAACTGTATTTAGAGCAATAAAAACTATATATTGATCGACAAATCGTTGCATCCGCCAAGCGAATCAATAATTGGCGAACTCACTGGTGCTTGCTTGCACCTCTGACAGCCCAAGAGTCTGACCTGTGTGAAGAGCTGGTCTCCCAGGAGTTGGTGGAAGGATTGCTGTTGGTGCATCAAAATCTGGCGCTGCTGGTCTTGCAGCAGGGCGAGCCCAGAGATGCTGCATACACACGAGAGAGTCAAAGACATGCACCGGCGGAGATAAACACGCACGCGGACGCAATTCTGCAGCAGCAAGCCACACAAAAGCATGTCAATATTTGCCAGAGGATGCAAATGAAAGTCGGCAGCAAACAACTCTGGAAGATAAAGCACACAGTAAAAGTGGCCCAATTAATGACGTGTTTTTCAGAGGCTATTCCCACTTCAAACCACCTGGTCAGACCATCTGGGTTTCATCCTTTAAAAATCTCTCTGTCTGGCTGCATTGCACAATGGGCCTAAGGTGACGATAATTAGAATACACATTTTTTTTTTTTATAAAAGAGTGCTTGGATCATAAAATAAGACCAGATGTCATTAGATGTGGCCGGGAGGAAGGGGGGTCAGTAAGCGCCCTCATTCGGCACTGCTGAGATTCTGGGTTTGAATCCACGCAGCCACCTGTGATGACATCAGGTTCTCAAGTATAACTAGTCGATGGTCTCAGCCTGTTTAACAATGACTGTAAAAGAGGAAAAACATTAAAGTGGGTTTGGGATTTTAATTTGATGAAAACGTTTTATTCTTAGAAATTCAAAATTTCAACATTATATTCTCAGAAGCAGAATTGGTGGGAAAGTGCTGCCCCCGACTCGGTGGAAGGAGAGGTCACTTGATGGGCTTGCAGAGGTGGCTCTGTGAATTTACCTTGCGCACAGCACATTTTTAAACTTGCAGTGTTTAAAGCAACTGCTCTGTGAGAAATCCCAATAGATTCTAACTTCGTGATGATGCCGAGCAAAATTAGGTAAAAATTGTGGACAAAAGCCAGACAAGTCAAAATAAACAACAACAACAAGTGAGCGGGCGCATGTGGACGTTGGCAGCGCGCGGGCGGGTTCATCTCCACACCTGTTGCCGAGGCTGCTGGGCATCGAAAGGCCCAGCGTGGGGTGGTTGGGGCTCGAGTTTTGCCCCATGGGCGCTGCCGCTGGCGTCTGCACGACGCTGTTGAGTGCCCCCACGAGTCCATTGATTGAGATTTGGCTGCCGGGGAGGCCGCTTAACATCCTGCCGGCGCCGCCTTGCATCGCGCCGACACCAGCTGCCACCTGCTGCTGCACACCCGTCAGTCCGGCGCCCTGATGCTGCTGCTGCTGCTGCTGCACGCTCATCGACGGCATTCCAACGGTGTTATGCTGCTGCAAGCTGAGCGACTGCTGCATCCCCAGGCTCTGTTGTTGCTGCTGCTGCTGTGGCGACTGCTGTACAACCAGACTTGGTATGGAGTTGCTGCTGCCAGGGCCCTGAGGGTGCACGAGCATTCCCGTGGGCACGCACGCCGCCCCTTGAGCTGGCGTCAGGGTGGGCATGGCTGCTCCTTTCTGCTGCTGCTGTTGCATGCCGAGCATGCCGGAGGCGACAGGCAGTGAGTGCTGCTGCTGCTGGTGCAGAACGCCGGCCACTCCGGCCGGGGTGAGGGAGGCGCCCGGGAGGAGAGGGGAGCTGCTTGGTACGGACAGAGGGGTGCCCGAGCCCGACTCCTGTTGACCACGGGGGCATAAGCAAACGAATCTGAGCGGCTCATCTCACTGCCACATTCACAACATTGCGATTAAGTCTGCGACTGGATTTGAACTTTAAAACGAGACTTGAGGAGTTGTAAAACTGTCCTAACTACCAGCAAACGGGAAAGCCAACACGTGGCTGCAGCGATCCATTTAAGAGTGAGGCCTTCACCACAGTAGCTTAGTTTGTTTAAGAAAAACATACCCTCAGACATAACTACAGTACACTGTAACATACAAATACCTTTGATAAGCACGGTTAACTACATACGATGCGAAAGAAGTTCAACAGATACATACCACAAAGTACTTTTAATTTTTTGATATGTACACGAATACACACATACCCAACACACTCACGTTTGTACTACATATACTGGAGAGCTTATTTGTGTGTGTAATACACATACACGTGTTTTTTAATGTATATTTTTATTGAAATTACGGCTAGCCCCCGAATTTTCAGCTGGTCGGACCAGGGCTCCCCCACCGAATCGGTTGAGCGGTGAGGAATAGCGATACAGAAGAACGAGGGGGGGAAGGGGGGGGGGAGACGACTCACAGCGGCAGACATGGTGAGCGACCCGTCCATGTGAAACCCGGCACCACCCGGCGGAGTCTTCCTGCTGCACTGCTGATCTGTGGCAATAAACACAAGGCCCCGGGCGGGTTTGACAAGAAGCATTATAATCCCAAAGTGAAAACAAACAACAACAAACCTGAGTCGTTAGGAAATCCACCACGGGACATTGTTTTGTGTGCTTGTAAAAGTTGACGGCTGTTTTTCCCAGAGTGATCACCCCTGGGCGGCAACACCCTGCGGTTCAATGTGACCATCTCGTAAGATCTTTTTATCGATTCTCTCTCCGGGTTCGTTTTCATTGCTCTATCAGCCTAAATGTAACATCGCCACATCACTTGCAAATAACGATTGATTCGTGAGTGCAAGAATTTGTTTAAATTAGGCATCGTTTCACATCAGATCGGTGGGAGGTGGTGAAAGTAAGAGGGGAGTGTGCGATGTTGGCGAGGGAGCAGAGGCTGTGCTGTAATTACAAAAGTGTAACTATGCGTGAGATTTATGGATAAACACGTAATGCAAGAGAGACACTGTTTATCTAAATAGAATGATAATATAATACTGCACGAATGCCAGCTCTCATGCTGTCCTGTCAATTAGGACCGTAATGATTCAGTCCCCCATAACTGATTTAATTGTCAAAATTTGAGCTCGTGATCCCATTGGGGGATTGATAATTACTTTGTCGAGTTCGCATGTGTTCTATCGTGGTCAGTATCACTTCTTCCATTACTTGGACGACCTCCCCTTCCCTCCACCACCAACTCAGTTCTGACTTCTGACTTGCAATTCTGTATGGAAATCAGAGGCTTAAGTCTGCTCAGGGTTCACAACTGGTAAGGATAAGTAGTCTTGTGGTATTTCTTTTATATTTTGGTAGATTTATCTTATTTACATGATACACAATTAACACTGTCCAAATGCATCCCTTGTGTGTGCTTGCCCCATTGATATAGACGATATGATACCAATATTTGCTGACGCCTGCAGATACATTATCTCTATTTACAACCAGGTAACCAGGTAAGAACGCACTGACAGCACAGGTTTGTTTTTCACGGGTAATTTACATTTGTTAAGTAATTGCCATGCCCAACTAATATATTCAACACTGCACCCATATGGGGCCTCCAGTTTAACTCGAGTTCCGGTCCTCCAGTTGTGACGATCAATGAAGTGGTGCTATAACCTGCATGGTGTGCCACACTGCCTCGCTTTCGCCACACCGATTAGCGCTCACCGGTACCCGCCAGTGCCAGTCTGTGTCTGTTAATGCCTTTTAATTCCTGCTTATGTCCGCCCATGCCCCTTAGTGCTTACCAGTGTCTGCCAGCACCCGCTAGTGCCTGCCAGTACTTGCCCGCGTCCACCAATGCCCGCCCATGCCTACCAATGCCCGCCAGCGCCCACCCACGTTTAGCAGCACCGTACCAGCGTGCCCCAGCGGCAGAGCGAGCTGGCTGCTGAGCAGCATGAGGCGTTCGCGTCGCGCCGTCAGCATGCGGATCTGCTCCTCGAGACGACGGTTCTCCGTCTGCAGCCGGTGCAGGCCCCGCAAGTAGCCTATGACTGCACGCGCAGTCGGACAGGATGGGCGGGGGGTTTGGTACTGAACGTGGGTCGCCGTGTGCGTCACCGTGAGTGTGTTGTGTGGGTCAGAGTGACCGTAATATGTGGGTCACTTAGCGGAGGGGAGATGTTAACTACCTCGCCTGGTATACAGGTCGTGGGTTCGATCCCGACCTTGACGCCTATATATTTGGAGTTTTTATGTTCTCCCCTTGGTCGTGTGGATTTTTATCTGGGTCCTCCGGTTTTCCCCTCCGCATTTAGAAACATGCGTTTAGAGTGTTTAGATTTTATAAATTTCCACATAAGCCACTTCATTGGGCTATCATTTGTGGCCAGGTCACTTCTGAAAAATAGCTATATAGCTCAGTGGGCCTTACTTGGTAAAATAAAAAATAGGTTTAGTTTTAAATAGTTTTAGTTTAGTGAATGACGGCAAGCTGGAACGCACCATCAGGCGGAGCGGCTTGCTCAATCAGGAAGTGTTGCCCCTCGTTCAGCTGCCGCTCCAAGAGCTGCTCGATGCTGGTGGGTGTTGGTTGCTGGGCAGCCTCCAGCCCGGCAGGGCCAGGGCCCATGCCCATGCCTGCCTGGCCCAGGTCAAAGCGGTTCGGCGTGTTTCCCAGGGCCTGGTCGAAGCGGCCCATCCCGGGCCCCAGGTGGCCCGGCTCGTAGCGCACGGACAGGCCAGGCTGCGGGACATCGTAGCGCCCGGAGGGAGCGCTCGGAGCGGCGTCGAAGCGCACTTGCATGTCGGACGTCTGCAGACTGCACGCACCGGGCATGGTGTCGCACGTTCAGGCAATAACGCGTGGGCGCACACCAAGCTAAACAAATTTTTTTTTATTTGACCAAGGCCCACTGATCTGTGTAGCTCTTTTTCACATTGCAGTCGGTGCAATTCGTCAAAAGTCAAGGGGGAGCTCTGGGGGCAGCCCTCATTCCCGTTGAGAACTCACACCACCCATGGCTGGGCCAGCTTCTGCATGGGATGATCACAAAGTTGACGTTCCACAAAGTTGTGCTTTACTCCTCTACTATGAGCAACTTTGGCAACTGCTACAAAGTGACAGTTGTTTTCTGGCCAATGAGACAGAGTTTTTGAAAACTGTATTTGATGAACGCTAATAGGTCGACAGAGCACACAACCTTGGATTGTCATGTGATCTCTGTTCTGATTGAAAGTTGTCATCCCAGTTGTCAACGAGGGGGTGGATCCAATATTTGGAGATAACTCGTTTTTTTACCACGAAGAATGGTGGTGGCAACCAGCAACAGAGAGAATTTCTGGCACCAACTTGTTTTCAAATTGCCCCGACTTGATAATCGCCTCAACTCACGATTGTGCATGGCAGACACACGCCAGCCGGAAGGTGTTCTCGTGTGGATACTCACAAAGATGGGGCGCTGTTGTGCGACGCGACGCTCTTTTTATGTAGCCTCGAGTCAGAGCTGTCCACTGCCTTGTCTACAAACGCACGTGCACCATCACGCAAACGTCAGCGAGATGCAACTGCTAGTGCAAAAATTTGACAAAATGTCGGTGTCTGCAGCGTGTACACGCATCGTTAATCGTAAACTTGGCATATGCAAGAGCAATCGATGTAAAAATCTTATTGCAAAAGTTTTAATGATGATGTAAAATTAATACTGCACGTATAGAATGATTGTGTACATCTTCAAATGTTCAGAAAATGACGACAGTAGTGATAAAACTTATTGCGATAAGGACGATGACGATGATGGTAACGATGATATGAAGACGACAGTGGTGACGGCGCTAGGAGTTTTGCCGATGGCTGCGCTGGCGACACCGACTGCGTTCGAGAAGCTGACTCGCACCGTCCAGGGCGCTTGTTTCGGCGGCGGGTGTAATGGTGGGCAGGGCGGCCACGTTGGTGGCCGTACTGAGGGGACTCCCGTACAGATGAGCCGGTGCCAGACCATGGGGAGACCGCAGACACCCTCCACTCTGCGCACACAAACACGCAAATAACCTTGCGTAACACCTACATAGGCTGTTAGTGAACACCTATGAAGACTGGCATGGCGCACAAGTGTGCGGCGTGCTTAGTACTACACCTGGCTGCCTCCCTCTCTTCAGCGCTGACCTATATACACCGTGCCATGTACTCATTCAAAGCCGAGTCGACCGAGGGGAGACCAAGGTCTGGTTGCGATATCGCTTGCCACCGGGGTGAGCATCAGTGGCAAGTGACCAAATTAATCAGCCTCTCTCGTGTTCGAATAGAACATGATCGTGACGGATAACAGTACCAAGCGCGACACCGCGTGTGCATGTTGCCCGCTGCTCACTTGAGCAGCTCAGTGGGCTGAGAGTCGAGGAACGGCATCGTCTTCAATAAGAGGAGGCGGTGAGGGGGTGGGGCATACAAGAAGCAGGCGCAGACGTACGGGGGAGGTAGGGATGTAGGGAGGGAGGTAGGGAGGTCAACCGCACCTGTGTGGAGAGCGTTGGTGGGAAAGCGGGCGAGGAAAACTGCAATGGGGGCAGCGTGGGTAGGTGCGGCTGGGCCAGCGCCGACGGAAACAGAGGAGAGGGCCCCCCTGAGCTCTGCAGGGACGGTGGTGCGTCCCCACTCAGGAAACCACCTGAACGCGCCCACAAGTGCACAGCACGCACACATCGCACGCTCTGCTGGGGAATATGCACCACATGCATCACCAGCAGCATACGGACCACAATGACCGTACACACCGCACGCAGAGAATTCACCACACACAAGCACCGCATACGAAGACAAAGATCCCCCGTATAGCCTTTACAGACTGTTGGGGCAAGTGCTGTTAGCAAGCACCTATGAAGGCTGGCACACGGCACAAGAGGGGGTGGGATGGCCAACACCACGCCCGGCCTCCGTCTCGCTAGTAGCGATGCTTACACACCGCACCGGGTACTCATTTGAGGCCAAGTCGACCTAGGGGAGGCCCAGAACCGGTTCAGATAAACGTCACTCGTGTTGGCCGTGAGTGGGAATCGAACTTTGGTTGCCGGGTTCGTAGCGCATCGTGCTGACCGCTACACTCCCGCTCCACGTGCACAACACACACTGCCATATAAACCAAAATACACCCTGACAACGACAAGGAAAATAACGTTGATGGCGACGATGGTGACACGGCGTACCCGAGGCAGGCAGACCAGGCGGAGGCGGGCTGTGCGAACACGAGCCGGGAGGGGAGGCGCTCGCTGCCCTCATGCTGTGGAAGCTGCCGTTGCGCTGCGACGACGGCGACTTGGCGCTCGAACCGCAAGCGCTGCTCGTCGACGACGCCACCGAGGACGCCGACGAAGAGTTGGAGGAGCTCGATAGGCGCGAGGACGTGGGCAAGGCGTCGGGCCGCCCTGCGCCGCCAGCCCTTCCTCCCCCGCCACCGCCGCCACCTCCTACTCCACCACCTGTCGCCAGCCCGTCCAGCGCGGGGGGCCCCGCCGCACCTCCGCTAACGGCGCCGCCTCCGGGGCACGTCGCGGCACTGGCGATCGACGAGGCGGCGGCGGCGGCGGCGGGTGGTGGCGCCCCCCCGGGCCCACCGACCGACGCGGCTGCGGCCCTGGCGAGGCCCACCGAAGGCTTGGCCTTCTTGCTCGCCTTGCGCTTGTTCTCCCAGCCGGGGCCCGACTCGTCTTTTCCGGACGAGCAGGGGTGCGAACGCTTCCCAGCCACGGTGCTGAAGCCACTCATGACGTACTCCTCGTAGGCCTTCTCGTATAGTTTGGGGGGCGACGAGTGCTCGTAGGCCTTCTCGTAGAGCCTCGGTGGCGATGCGGTGGGGGCCGGCGCGCACAACGACGGGGGCGGCGGAGGCAGTGGCGGCGGCGGAGGCGGAGCGGCCGAGCCGCCGAGCGCGGCCTTGCTCTGGACCGCCGCGGGGTCCTGGCAGGCACCATCCATGGCCTTGGGGCCATCGCGAGTGGCGCCGGAGCCCTGGCCGGATCCTTTGAGGCCGCTCGCCGGCGCGTAACCGTCCTTGTGCGTGTTGAGGTCCACGTAGCCCAGCAGCTCCTGGGCTGACTGCACGAGGCTTACCGACTTGACGGCGCCACTGCCGCCTGTGGCGTGCACGTACGATTGTGAGACGTTGCGTCGTCGCCAAGTGGGAAGGGAAGGGGCCATGTGTGGAAACTAAAGTATCAATGGCCGCGTGCAGGGACTCAACTACCAAGGTCACCAATTTCAATGTTTAACTTCAGTTTTTATGAACATTTTATACCGAAGTTTTTACTAATTTAAGTCAAACATGTTATTATTCAATACTAGTACAGAAAATGTAAGAATGGATTTTAATGTATTTAATGTATCAAACGGTGAATCTTTACATGCCCTATTACTATTGTTACCACAAGACATTTTCAAATCAGCATTTCGTCATTATGTACACCGCACGCGTTTTGGCGTGTGGCCCTGGACGATAATGAAATCACAACTTTTACAAAAATACTCCCCACACTCACCTTTCTTTCCCTTCTGCCCCGAGCCATGGGGCAGTTTCTTCTTCTTGCCATCCTGACCTTTGCCCTCGGAGCCCTCACTGCCGGTGCCAGAGTGCACCGGCACCTCCTTGAAGTTGGCATGGGTGAATCGAGAAGTCGGGTCGTCTAGGCGCTTGAGCGACGCGTTCAGGAAGGCGCCACTCGGGCTGGTGTACGTCTGTACCACGCGGCATCCGACGGACATCGCCTGCTGTTAATTCATGTAAAGACTAGCTTTACTCGCGTCACTACACATGCCTAAGGCCGACCATCACCACTTGCCACTCTTGATAAGCACCGGACATTCACTACTCGCCACTCACCAGACACGCACCACGCTTGGTGATAACGGACCGACAACGAGGAGGATCAAATAAACTCATTTACATTTTCCACTTCACGTAGGCAGCTGCCAAATTAACCCCGATTGGTCAGTGGTGGCAAATGGGAGACCGGACAGTAGTATTTTAATCGAGAGATTTGTTACATCACTCCAGAGAGCGTAAGTACAACCAGAGAGCCAAATGCAGCACGAGGATGAGAAATAATAGGTTTTACCCTTTCTGGCAATAAAATAGGTGTGTTAAGATGTTCAAACACCAAATAGACGCCTATTGCAAGGAATCAAGTCTGCATTAACCACACATGCTTGTGGTAAGCATGCAAACAACATGCTTTGATGTTTGCCACAAGTACGTATGGTTAATGGAGACTTGATTCCTTGCAAAAGTTATCTATTTGGTGTTTGAACATATTAACACCTGTTTAATTGCCAAAAATGGCAAAAACCTATTGTTATTTTTCATACTTTGATACTGGCAAAAGAATGTCCCATAGGATGAGAAATACACCAATTATCCAGAGAAAGATCGCCCCCCCACCTTGCCAAAGAACCAAGTTTGATTTTGAAGAGGGCCACACCCTGCCCTGGAGTGCCAGGAGAAAAAAATGTTTGATGAAGAGAACAGTTCCGGTGAGAACTACCTGCTCGGCATGTACCGCCTCTTCCATCTGCGTGTCGCAAAGCAATGGATAACGAGCGAATATCAGAGAAGTACGTATTTGGTCACTCCAATTAATCCCCCATCTTTCACGACGATCACACGACGACAACAACACCTGTGGATATGGTCACCACCATTAGGCACTACGGATGCGAGTCATTTTACGCGATAACATTTACCTCGCCTATTAAGTTCTAATTTTTTTCCCCACCAAAAAAAACACAGAAGCCCTCTCCCGAAGTAAATTACCAAAAAACATATGTCAATTATAGCTTTGATGCAGCTTACCAAACGGTTAATTTGTCTTGGAAAGTAAACGAGAATAAACGGACTACACCTTGTCAAGCGTGCACGGGAACAAAACGTCTTGGGTGTTTAATGCAACCCAAACCCTCCCGAAGATGGCACAGCAAAAGGGACATCTGGGAAAAATAAGACAATTAAGGACATCGATGGCATGACTTCTGACCTTCTCAGTGGTGACGGTGAGGGAAGGCAGTAGGGGGCTCGGCTCCCCCACTCGTTTATGCCTCTTTTGCTTTTCCTTCTCTCGATTCTTCTGCAAACACGGAACGGGTAATGAGCCGGGCTGGGATCCGGATTGACCCAACGTGCCTCCCTGTGTTTTTGCACAGTGCGCACATCACCACTCGTCAGTCGTGTCACATCAAGCGCTTTACCACAACTTGCACATTTTTCCCGAACAATTCGCACAAAGACTCAATGCCACACCCACAAACGGAATTCCATAAAACCCGTTTGGGCACGTCAGGACAACCGGGACAAACCTCACACAAAAATGTGATGTTCTCTGCAGGTGTCCGACAAAAGCCACTGGAACTCTAAGCCACTGGGAGACAGTGTCTGGCAGTACTACGTATGGTGCGAAAGAAGTTCAACATTCACACACACACAACCGAGCTTTGTAGCCGGTGTGCCGTGGTATTTTTGGAATAATAGGAAGGGAAAGAACCTCAAACACCCACAGCCCACCTCCCGCCCTCCCCTCTCCATTGGTCGTGGCAAAGTAGACAGCCATCAGTCCGTACCCCCCGCCTTCATAACTCCCTCGGTCGTGCATACGCAGTTAGACAAACCGATACGAAGGCATACACACTAAGACACATGCAGAGACACACATAGAGACCAAGCAGGCTGTTGTATTGAAGGATACATACAAATATTCACAGGAACCCATCAGTACAGAGACTGGTACAGCAGTACAGATTGCATCCCTGTAGTACTGACACTGATCTAGCAGTATTGACTGCGATGTATTAATACTGATGGAGGATCATTATCCTAAATCAGTGTTCTTCACCAACTTTCAGAGGGGGGCCACTTTCGCCGATAAGACATCGTCAGTATGAGGGCCACCACATATTTGAAACCATTGGGTTTGACAGCACGATGATGGGGGGTGTTTTCACATTTATGTATTGTCAGGGGCTGCACGTCAAAGGCCGCATTCAAGGCCACCAGTGGCCCGCGGGCCTTGCAATGAAGAACACTGGCCTCAGTAGACTCCAACTTTACTAACCCAATACCCATCAGTCCTGACAGATACTCAGTAGCACTGAGACTCATGAGTAATGGTCAAAAATCAGTACGACTGAGACTCATTGGTACCCAATGAATCCCAGGAGCACTGAGACTCATTTATACTGACTGGGAACCTAGCAGCACTGACCCGAGCCCCATTAGGACTGAGCGCATCCCGTTTGCACGGACATGGACACAGCGTGTGCAGCGGTACAAACGAACCTTCTTGTCGCGCTCGTGTTTTTCCTGAGAGTGCGACGCAGCCTCGCCGAGCCCGGCATCAAACGCACTCCGTCCAGCCGGGCGCCCCTTCTGTTGGACAACACCGTGAGCGTTACAGTGGCAGCAGCGACAATCACAACATCGCCGCTAATATCAACCCTGCACCAGCAGTGCCAACTACCTACGTAAGCATCAATGTCCTGATACTATAAAACGAAACTATTTTTTATTTTACCAGGTAAGGTCCAGGGAGCTATATAGCTTTCAGAAGCGACCTGGCCACAAACGATAATTAACGCTGCGACTTACCACGTGGAAATTTATAGCAGCCAAATACAGTAGACTCTCGATTATCCGCTTGCGGCTTATCCGATTTGCTTTAGCAAGCAACTGCAATTAAGAGCGAGATAGGAACGTCACAAACTCCACGACACGTGCCATTTACCATCTTGCTGTAGTGGTACTTGCAGTAGCCACAGTACTTGACATTGTCGGCCCCCACTCCCTCCTCCTCGCACAGCAGGCCGGCCATCTGCGCGCTGTCAAGGCACACACCGGCATCACTATGTGCAGCAGGCATCGCACTGAACGATAATCACTATTTTTAATTTTTATTTACCAGGGTAATGCCCACGGAGCTATACAGCTCTTATTTAGAAGCGACCTGGCCACACAAATGATAGATCGACGAAGTGGCCTATCGCCACGTGGAAATGTATAGCAGTAGCCAAATACTCTAAACGCGCGATGTTCATTCTAAATGTGGAGGGGAAAAACCGGAGAACCAAGAAAAAAAACCACGCGATTACGGGGAGAACTCGCACACTCCAAATATACAGCAGGCGTCAGGGCCTGGATCGAACCCACAACCTCCTGCATACCAGGCGAGGTAGTTAACATCTCGCCACCGTGCCGCACCACATGTATAGGTGTGCGGCCACACTGAAGCAAGCACATAGTACTCCCCTTCAGATACCGACACCTGGGCATGTTATGGCCATCGCTGCTGGCAAGTGACCCTGGTAATAGTTGCTGCAGTTTTCCAATGTAAAAGAAATGCAGTTTCCCATATCTGAATGTCATCGATGCTTCCCCCCTGATGGGCTATTGGAAAGGCAATTTCCAACCAGATCACAGAGGTCACATGACAACCCCCAGAGTTGTGTGTATGCTCTCAAACAATAATTGTTATTAAAATACACCTAAATAAACTGTCCTCGTTGGCCAGAAAAAAACTCCGTCATGCTATGCCATCATACAATTAAAACAGGTCCGTTAGCGTACACATGTGGGAGAGTACCACCGTATGAACTCTGGGTGGGAAATTCCGTATAAGACTTTCAAATACCTTTGTGGGCCACACAAACACACACATCTGTTAACGCAAGATGCCCTTGTAGCGAACGAAATGACCGAATGCATGAACATTAAATGTACAACATTGTCCTTTCATGCCAAATCAGTGAGGCCAAATCGTTTGCAACGACGGATTTCGTTTTTGGGCCATTTTCAAGTGGTCGGCCTCATGTGGCCGCGGAGTATCTGAAATGATGCCTCGGGCCATAGGATCCTCATCCCTGCTGATATAAACCAACACAATTATAAACTACTGTCGTCCCTCGGTTAACAGCGACATCGTTTAACGTTTTTTTGCTTAACATTTCGCCTCCGATAGGACCGCATCATTTCGACTAACGTTAAAATGTTGATAAATACTTTTCTAAAGAAAATGTTGATTAACGATATGTTTGCGTTATGCATGCAATGGCGCCAACTTCGGCCAATCCGAGCGTGCACTCGGCCAATCAGCGATGCCCATTTGAGCGTTTAGACCACGATGGGCTTTGTTTATATTATATTTCTATTTTGGCAGTGGAAACAGCTCTCTTGCAGACTCAGTGATTTTTTTTTACTTCTTTTTTTTAGTATAAGTGAATTCAATCAACAGTTATTTTGGTTAACAGTAGTTTTCGTGGAACGGATAAAAAAAAGTTTAACCGAGGGACTAATATAGAATGTTTTGTGTGTGTATGCATCTGTGCAGGCACGAGCGCTCATTGTACCATGTGACATGAAAAGCCTGCCGGCACCCATGCTTGTTGCAGGTCATGCAGGCGCCCGTGGCCGCCTTGCTCTCGCGCCCTTGCTCTTCGCACAGGTAGCACGTCTGCGTGCGCAAACGCGGCGACAACGAAGCGGCACTCCTCAGCTCGGCCGAAACGGAAAAGTGCGACGCGACACAGCTCGGCAAAGAATGGCGCCTCTTGGCAGAGGCGGCGATGGCTTCGACGGAAAGTGCAGCGGGGGAGGTGGGCGGCACTCACCTTATTGTAGCGATCGTGAGGCACGTACTGGAGTACTATGGGCTCCATGGTGGACACATTGGCAAACTGAACCTCAGGAATATATAGCGCACACACCACGTGTGCCCAGCCTGCATGCCCGAGGTGAGAGAAAAATTGCCGTCAGCGTGCACCTGTGAAGAGACGAGCTCGATGCACACGCCAACGACTACGTCGCCACCCCCCACATGCGTATACATGAAGATGCATCGTAACCTTACGGATAGCAGGTACAAATGTTTGTAGCGAGATACTTAATTAGGCTGACCTGCCATACAAGGGGGTCAAGTGACCAGTACTGTACTATGACCAGTCCATCTGTGTCTCCGCTTTGCAGTTTTTAAGTAACCATGCAACAGTGTAGACACACAGGTGATTGAATCGACGACTTTGGATTCAATGTACCACGCATTAAACATGCGCAGACATTAAAAGATGTGGCAATGCAAACCAGCGGCAGATTACAGAACTGATTGTAATGAGGATGGCCAAGTTACCCACTTCCTTTTTGGACGTTTCATCTCATCAGGCTCATTGGGCCATGAGATCCGCTTACACGAGTGGGCATGTGAGAAGGATAGCCTGGGCTCGTCTCTGGTGGAAGCCCGCCGATCCGAACAGCATGCCACACAAGCTCGCCTTTCCCGTCTGTGGATGTAACCATTTTCCCTGATGGCCAGTCAGTTACCTCCGTTATCCGTCCTCTTCAATGCTCCATCCTTATGTGGACAAAGCTCACATCTCTGTGGGAACATCAATCAGCGTTGCGTGCGTTAACATCGAGCAGCAGGTGACGATGGATCAGAGGGCTTGAATGCACTGCAGGGATCTACATCCAAAGTGCGCCGTCTGCCGCGACACATACGCTTAAGAAACCCACGAAGGCGCATTCTGAAAGCAGGCCCATTTGCCACACACTTGAACAAGTCGGCATCTTTCCCATTGAAGCCATGCGATCAATCAAACCTACTTGTGCATGTAAATAGTTCACAAATTACTATTGACAATGGTGACCCTTGCAGGAAGGTAATGAGTAAAAAGGGACACACCCTGGGTTTTTTTTTTTGAAGGAGCAATCTGACAAGCCGCTGACCGTTGACCCAACACTCAGCATGTGCCAATTGTGTTTGCGCCCCGAACGTGCAACAAAAAAAATTGAGCCTCTTATTAAAATGATAAAACCAAAAAATGTGGTTTCTCTTAGACAACGCCCGGCACAGACAACCAAACTGGAATTAAGATAACGAACAAATATTAATGTCAAAAATCGCTTTGCTGCGTTAACATTTCGAACCGAGGTCTGTTCAACAAAAACATTTAACTAATGTACATATACAGCCCTTTTGAAGGCCTCTAATGCCATATGGGTCACCATGCTGGTCAACAATGCGGGTTAGCGAATGTGAGTGTGATATGGGAGCACGTAAGCAAAATACAAGAGTGGATATTTCTGCACTGCCAAATGCTGGCCCTGACTTAGCTCTACAATAACAATACTCTTAATGTACAAAGTATAAATGGGGCATTTTAACAGATAGGCATTCACCAGCAATATTATTCATGATGAAGTTTTTTCGGTTAGATTGCGTAAATGTAAATTTGTCGTACACTTACCTCCAACAGCCACAGCAAATTAGTAAGGTTGTCACATGAACAGAACCAGCAAAATGTCACTCAATTGGTAATGTTGTAGGTGTGTTCCATCACACCGGTGTGGTGGAGCAATACATGCCAGGTCAACCTTACTAATGGTCTGTGTTGGGTGGAGGTGGGTATACGACACAATTACGCAAACTAACCCAACAAACTTTATCACGAATAAAAGGGGCATCTCAAGACTGTACCAAAAAAAAACCCTTGAATAAGTTGCATGGAGGGACGTGGAATGCAGCAGTGCATGGGAGCGTTAGCATCAATCGTGGCAAGCGGGGAAGAATCTGATTCGCGCACCCATTCTAAGCAGGAGGGGCTCTTGTCGGAGGCTGTCATCGCCTGCTGTCACCCATTGAAAACGCCTCCACGCGGCCGGGCACACAGACACAATAGTGTCTTCAGTGGCTATTTATGCGCGCAGAATGCAGAGCGCACTACACGGCAAGCCAAAGATAAAAGTGCGGTGCCGCAAGTTGCTATTGTGACCTGAAGAAAAACCAACGGTTCGAATTCCATTTTGGCAAATAAGAAAAATCTTTCCTGAAGTTTCTTTTAGGCACAAAGTACACCTTCCTTCAGAAGGATGGTATTAATTTCCCTTTCTAAGACTGGGCAAAGATAACAAGTGGCTATTAAATAGTTTTGCCTCTTCAAAAGTATTGCAGCTCAGTTACTTAACTAAGCAAATAACATATCTACCTATTCATTTGTTAAAATGTACCTATTTCTCACACTCGTGATAGACACCAAATGTTCATGCAAAAATCAGACATTGATCTCTATGCAAATCAAATGCACATATGCTGTTGTATTTATGCTAATGTTTTAAAGTTGTACAAATGACACAGAATACCTAAGAAAACAAGCAATACAGTAGAAAAAATGGGACAATGAGAATTGATTTAATGGGGTGGGGGCGGGGTGTTGAATCGTTACATGCCGATAGCAATGCTAAAGTATCGCAAAAGATTAAGAAGCATTCCGAGGTCCTAGGCCACTACTAATGTAAGTAGGTGGACAGTCTTGAATGCATGCAGAGCGATCATGCACATGTGCAGGGTGAGCATGCATGCATGTGTGAAAGTGTGCAGGACCATTTGCACTACTCACCACTCGCGCTGCTCGCTCCTGCGACTCACACTTTCGGCAGAACCACGGCCCCGTGGGGACATGCACTATCCCGTAACAAGCTGCGGACGACAGCAGCAGGCGCATGATGCAACGGGGAGGGCCATGCGTGCGTACACATACGCACACCAGCTAGATAACACCACACTGCCTGGTTATAAAACTACGGTGCACAGCGTGAATGAAACATCGATTAAGTTTTACCTGATTTAATTACACGTTTTAATTTCTTATCAATATCTTACGCCACAGTTTAAACGTGTCGTGAATTAACTATTAATTGCGATTATATCATTGGGCAATCGTTCAATTTGAGCAGTTGGACAGGAATTTGTTAGCAAGCATTGGATCACACAACAAAGTCACAGTCATTAATAGAATTTCCACATCTGTCCAATACACACTTTGTGTAAGTCTTCTGAAGGTGTATTTTACTTGATACTTATTAACAAATTCCAACAACACTTGTGATGAAAGTTGTGAAAGTGATATTGAAAGAGAAATTATTTTAGGAAGAAATTACATGAACTTGTGAAAGAAAAAAAATTGACAGGTACCCTTCATGTCACCAGTTAAATAAACAAAGAAAAGTATGTAGACTGATGTTTTTTTATGCAAATGTTTTAAGTGGAAGGATAAACCACAGCCCATTTAAAAAAATATAACTCTTTATCAAGTCTTGGTACTCAGTTTGTAAATGTTGTGGCTTCCAACACACGGGTGTGCTGTACAGTACTAGTGACGAATTGGCATGTTCTGTTATATGACAACCCTTACTAGTTGGCTGTGTCGGGTGGTGGCGGGTTTTTACACATTTATATATTTACGCGATCTAACCCAAAAACCTCTATTATGCTTCATACTGTTAACTTTTAAACAATACAGAAATAATCTTTAAACACAGAAAACCCGAAGGCAAGAGGCCCCTTGGGTTATGTTTGCAAGTAAAGCGGTGTCAATGATTATGGGTGATCTCCGATTATCTCTTGAGCAGCTTGAAAGAGCAAATGAGTTGCATGTATTGTTGTTCATCGTAAAAATATCAACGACGGCCTCGTAAGATGCATCATCTTCAGTGCTGGAACTGTAAGTACGAAGTTCCATGTACACGGAGGCTGACAATAGAGATCTCAGGCAAGATTGAGCCAGTGGATCGTATTGCAAATATACACACATGAGCGTTATTTAATACTAGGTGAGAACCCATTGATACAAAACTATATTATGCAAATTATATATATACATTTTCACTACTACATTAATGACAGCATGTCACAGTAATAAATAGGTTTCTGTGTGAAAGGACCAAAATACCCAGAGAAATTCCATACTTAAGAATGGAAAATTCAAGTCCACAAAGAGGGTTCTTGAGCCACATTTCCATCCTGTTATCTCCTTGGTCCTCTTGCAGCCCAGGGGATTTGGGAGTTCTGGACCATAGTGGTGTGCGCCAGTATGTCGTGCCCATCAGTCGTTAATTTGTCGAACGGTAGTAGTCTACATCGAATGAAGATAATGTTACACAAACTGCATTTGACTGTATGTCTGCACAGTAATTTGATACCACATAGATTGTTGTAGCACACTACTGGTACGAAACAGTGGTATTTGGTGATTCGTCCTGACCACAGTGTTGTATAGTTTACACAGTGTCAGTTCTGCACTAAACACTGAATGCACTTCTCACATTCACTACAATTCGGCAGGCACAGGTTAGGTGTCCTTTGACAAACATTATTAAGTCTACGGCAGATGCTACTGTTAATAATCCAGCAGGGCCCTACTGATCTGAGTGTCTAGTGGGCAGTTGCCCCCCCACTCTCTACCACCTCTCATTTCCATGGGAGTGTGAGTTAGCTGGCAATTCTGGCACTGTCCCCCATGTCTCCTCTGGGGCTGCCCTGAATTCTGTCACTATTCTGGTCAAAATGGAGTACATTACCAAATGTGAATAAAAAATATTGTAGGCAGAATTAAAATTTAATTTTACATACTACGCAAGTGATCCAACTAACTTTTGTGACAACTTGAGTAACTTGGGAAAAAACCGTGAAACTCCGTGTTATCAACACAACTTGAGTTGTCATTCAAGTGCTGGGAGAAATCAGGCCAACTTGAGTCCACTCAAGTTCACTTGAGTGGGTGGCCAATGACAAAAAGGTGGAAGTGGAATTTTCCACTTAGATTCTCACGTCTCTCAATGTACAAAAGTTACTGGCCAATGATTGTTAGCCATATATATAGCGGACAAGCCTCTCGGCAGGGTCTCTACACTACCTTTATAGAGGTGAAGTCTATCATGTCACCTGACATCATGCAAGAAATACCTGCGTTAAAGGATAATGGTTTTGAACTCGTCTGATATGAGCTGGAAGAGTCGAGGACTACACCACCCACAGGGATAAACATCTAAAAGTCGCGCCAAATACAGAACATAAATCGATGCGGTCCATTGGTCTATGGGCATTTCATACAAATGTTTTTCAGCAGCATAAAACTGGGCCAGTTGTATGTTCTCGGTCTCATCAACAAACACAAATGAATTACATAATCTACTTTTGCCTGGTGTTTGTAATGAAGCCTGTATATATGTAGTTTTCCTGTTCTCCCCGTGGTCGCATGGATTTTTCTCCGAGTCCTCCGGTTTTTCCCTCCAGATTTAGAAACATGCATTTATATAATTTGGGCGCTATAAATTTCCAAATGATAAGCCACTTCTATGAGAAATAATTTGTGCCCAGGTCACTTCTGAAAAAGAGCTATATAGCTCCGTGGGACTTACCTTTAAAAAAAAGTTAACACGAAGGCTTTCACGACCAATATCATCCATAATACAGGGTTTTTTTGGGTTAGATCTCGTAAATATAAATGTGTCGTTATACCCACCACAAATCTGGCTGCCGCCTGATGCCGGTTGTAATTACCGGTGAAACGTCGTACTCAGATTGTAAATGTTATAGATTTGCTCTCCAAAACATCGGTGGGCTGTACTAGCAACGAATTGGCATGTTCTGTTTACGTGACAAACCTAATTGGCTGTGTCGGGTGGTGGCGGGTTTAACGACACATTCATTATTTACGCGATAAAACCCCAAAAAAACCTTTATTATGCAAAATAGTTTAGTTTCTAATAGCCAGCATGGAATATTCTCCCGAATGAACCTTTAACTCACACCCTAACCACAAGCCAACGTCACAGCAGTCAAAACATCTCATGGCAGTGAAAGCACGCATCTCACACGTGGCCAATTCGAAAAACCTCTGCTGCAGTAGAACGCGAGAGGACCTCATTAAAGGGAACGAGGGCAGGCTCGGCGCGGAACCGACGCCGCATCCTCACCTTGATGCACGGCCACGCTGCAGCCGTGTCCATCGCAATACACGAGCGGGTTCTCAGCCCAGCCTCGCTCGTCAGAGCACACACAGCAACCGCCGACCATCTCCTTCATCGCGCTCGGGCCCAATAAGCCAAGCGCGGGCCCCGTCCAGACGCCACCGCCACCACCAGCGCAGCCTGCGCCGCCAGCGCAGCTGTCGTGTCCGCCTCCTCCTCCTCCTCCCGCCGCCGCCGCCGCGTCCGTGCCGACGCGGTCCAACCGCTAAGAGGCACGAGAAGAGACAGAGAACAACAACAACAACCACAACAACAACAACAGTGTCAACGCAGCAGCACGCAGTCAGTCAGTCAGTGTCACGCGCGCGCAGATTGAAACAAAAACAGGCTGGACATTGACAACGTCACACGCACATGGCAATGCGGAGGGAAAGGCATTAAAACACGGCGGAACGCAGAGACAAGCAGTCACACACGCAGGTATACAGAGAGACACGGCGCGACAGCGAGGCGCGCACACACACAGGGGCACACTCACGAGGTGTAAGCCACACAGACGCGCGTTGAAAGAAACGCACGGAAACACGGAAGCAGAAAATAAGACGCAGAAAAAAGTCGAGAGAGGAGGAGCAGCAGTAGCAGCAGCAGCGGCGGCGGCGGCGGCGCATCGGGACGGCGCCGAGAAACGAACGCGGCAACACGCGGGCAAGTCTCGCTCGAGGAGCCACGTACACAACCACACTCATCATCGACCTACACCGACGTAGTAGAGAGACAGCGAGAGACAGCGAGAGACAGAGAGGAGCGGGTGGAGTTTAAACCCTCGCCGCCACGCAGGGCGAGAGGCCGCGCCGGCATTGCCCCCACAATGGTGACAGTGGCCTCTTGGGCCAGGCGGACACGTGGGGGGCGGCGGAGGAGGGGAGGGGGGGTGGGAGTTCAACTCGCCCTCGCCTTTACCGCACTCCCATCGCCCTGCGTCGTCGTTGTTGCTATCCCTCTACGTGTCGCGATCGCTACGGCGCGGTGGTTACGGTGGTCGTGGTTGGCGGCGGGAGTTGTGCTCGGATGGGTGGGGTAGGGGAGGGGGGGGGTCAGTGAGGCCTAGTGATCAGGCCACCCCGGGTGACCCCTCCGGCGGCAGGAGAACTAGGAAACGCGGGGCTCCCGACGCGACCCCCGAGTGCGCGCGCGCGCGCGCGGCCTCTTACCGACGGCGAAGGGCGCGCGGGTCACGTGGCCCAAGCCTCGTGACGTCACCCGGCTTAAGGGGGGGGGGTGTCAGGGAGGGGAGATGGAGGAGCCGCGGTGGGGGGGGGTCAAGTCACGTGGTACGAAGTCTGCGCGCGCGCGCGCGGCCCTCGTGACATCACGCGAAGTTGGGAGGGGCTAACGTGGGTGGGGGTGGTCTCGGTCGTCACGTGACGCAGCCGCTTTAAATAGTGTGACGTCACGGCGGCCCGCTGGAGGTCGTGGGTTCGATCCCGACGCTGATGCCTAAAATAAAATAAAATGTTTCGCTCCGGATGACCGCTGCAAAGTATGATCTGTGTTTTGATTTAGTGTGCTGATCTTAAAAGTGCATTGACAATTTTTTGATACTCCGACTGATGCTCCTGCTGTTGTGGAGTGACTCATGCAGCCAGCTATGGCTACAGGGTTTTTGGTGGTACATGTGGTTTATGTCGTTTATTGTGAAAATTCGGTCACAGTTTCTATGATCATTGTTACATTGCTTTTATGGCTTTATTTTGGTGATTTCGAAAAGTTTTTTGGTTTGGCCATGTTTGTTGTAGTACGGCGTTAGACTGATGGCTTTAATCTAAGTTGTCTTGTGGTTGTTGTTTGACTTGCATCCCACTGGGATTTTTGCACACAGCGTTGGTGTACGGTGATTTTTCTGCAATATTTTGCTGCCTTTTCTTGGATTTGCTGTTTGCACAAAGTCACTTTAAGATGTTTTATTGTTCATGTTTTTGTTTGTTGCGGTTGCACCCGATTCAAGAGCCGAATAGCTCACAGGGCTCTACCAAATAAATGAAATGAATGAAACTGAAATGCCTCCTGCGTCTCTCGCTTTCTCTTAGGGGCCGTCCATAAATGACGTCACGCATCTAGGGGGGGTCAGACATTTGTGACGATGTGTGACGAGGGGGGGGGGTGTTTGAGAAATGTGACGTCACATAAAAATGCGCAACTTTAAATAAATGTAGACAACACGTTCTACTTAATTAAATATAATTTTGAATACATGTTTTCTCCTACAACATCAGAGTGCAGCGCCACATTAAATACGCACTACAAAGACAATAGCTTAAAGCGATTTGAAGCATGTTTTATTTGGGGGGGGGGGGCAGAGCTTTGTGACGTCATAGTTGAGGGGAGGGGGGTCTGACTTTTTGTGACACCGTGTGACGAGGGGGGGGGGTCAAACATCGTCCAAAATCGCGTGACGTCATTTATGGACGGCCCCTTTCCCCTCCACGTTTAGAATCAACATCAACGCGTTCTGAGTATTCGGCTGCTGCTATAAATGTCCACGTGGTGACGATCAGTCCACTTTGTCTGGCCATCATTTGTGATAGCCAGTGGGCCTTACCTGGTAACATACAAATAAGTATAACCCGTAAAAACAAAGTTTTTCACTCTAAATCCTTTATATGCGTGGCGGCTAGAGTCCTCTCGTCCTCTGGCTTGAGATGGCTGCCACCTATGGGTCAGATGATTGTCTGCAGTATTAAACAATTGGTAATTAAATATTTAATTTGTTTTCCCTAAACAGTATAAAATTTTGGACATTTTTTTCACGAACATTAATTGTCTCGCACAACGAGTCTGTGTGCAAAATGTCAGCTCGATTGGATCACGGGAAGTGGGTTAAAAAACGACCAAAAGGTTTGCACGGTCGTAAGCAAGCAAGCAAACAAGCAAGCGAACTTAATATAAAGGATTTAAAAATAGTTCATAGTTTTGTTATACCGTATGATAATTGTTTTTTACATTTTTATCTGGCAACAAAACTGACACCTTTTTTACAAGGAGTCATGTTTGCATAGACCACAATACCTGCAGTCGGAATGCAAACAAAAAACACAACTCTGATAATGTATGCACTGTCCTTGAAATTGATTGGTCCACACCCGAGACAGCTTTCCTTAGAGCCTAGTCTCACATGGTGTTATACCGTATTTTAACTATAATTGACTTCCTTTCAAGTGTGGGAACGACGTCATAAACCAGCCCCGAACGGGACTTCAAGTGGCGATGGTTGCGAGCAGATCTCCAATAGAGCCCGCCGGGTGGCGCTGTGAGCCCGTGCAGAACCACCCAGACCCCAATAATTAGAATCGGAATATTGTATTTAAACTGCAGGAGGAATCCGATGAGCTATAAAGCTCTTTTTCACACATGTCTAGTAGGGGCTTGTCAGAATGTACAACAACAAAAACAATACAAAAACACGCGATAGGAGTTCAAAGTATAGGTAAACAAATAAATTATAAAATAGACACAAATAAAACTAAACAATATATTTTTTAAATCTTATCACGTAAAACCCACTGAGCTAGTAACTTATATTTTATCCAGCGGGTACCTAAGAAGGCCGGAGGGGCGGGGCACAACCACGCCCGGCCGCCTTTGTCTCTCCAGTGATGTTTATGCACCATCAGGTAGTCATACTCTTAGGTTTTTTTGGTAAAGTCACGTAGATAAAAAATAAATAATAAATAAGAAAAAGTATAGAAATAATAATAGAAATAAAATTATTAAATAAAGTTTTTTCTATTATTTTTATTATTTATTTTTACCTACGTGACTTTACCGAAAAAACCTAAGAGTATGAATCCTTGCAGTCACGAAAGCTTCAAATCTAGAATTAACACCATCAGGTACTTATTTTATGGTAGGGCGCAGGACCGGTTCACATATTCGCCACTGATGTTAGCCGTGGCCGGGAATCGAACCCACGTGGCGCAGTGTCCTCACCAATATTCCCACCTTGTGTTACGTGCAACCAAAGACAAAGATCCCCCGTATATCCTAAACAGACTTGGGGCAAGTGCTGTTAGCGAGCACCTATGCAGGCCGGCACGGCACACGAGGAGATGGGTAGCCAACACCACGCCCGTCCGCCTTTGTCTCTCGAGTGGATATATTTACACACCGCACCAGGTACTCATTTGAGGCTGAGTCAACCTAGGGGAGGCCCAGGACCGGTTCAGATAATAATCGTCACTGGTGTTGGCCGTGAGCGGGAATCGAACCCTGGTGTCCAGGTTTGTAGCGCAGCGTGCTAATCGCTGCACATACACACACCTAGGTGCACATTGGAGGAATTGCCTTGTCACTGGACACGTGTAGTCGTTGCTTGTTGTCACTGGGACGACTGTTACAGCTGTGAGTCCGTGTGCACCTCCCATTATCACGGTTGGCTACGTACGGTGCGAAAGAAGTTCAAGGTGCTGGCCACCCAACCCCTCCTGTGCCGTGCCCACCTTCATAGGTGCTAATCGCCTACAGCACTTGCCCTAACAGTCTGTGAAGGCTATACGGGGGGTCTTTGTGTAGATTCCTGGGTGTGAATTCTATTTATCGAGCAAGGCAGTCTGACAAGCCACACGCGCATCTGCATATTGCGTGTATGAAAGAGTAATTAAAACTCTGTCCGACTATCCATAACACTAACCACGTCAGTCCAACACACCGGTGGTGCTGTACTAGTAACGAATTGGCACGTTCTGTTTACGTGACAAACCTTACTAGTTGGCTGTCGGGTGGTGGCGGTTTTAACGACACATTTATATTTACGCGATCTAACCCAAAAAACCCTATATCATGGATGATATTGGTCGCGAAAGCCTACGTATTGAATTGTCTTTAACAGTTTAAATTCATGTCTTTAACGTGCGCGTGTTCTCTAAGCCACGTGTTCCTATTTCTGTCTATCTCCAAGCGTGCGATCGCTTTACGAGTACGCATTTTATGAGTTGTTTTGTTCCACATGGGGACATTCAGTCAACACAATCCCCGACGGTGACACCAGCCACTGAGTGGCGCACGCGTGCCTAGGCAGCCACCCCAGAGCCCACGGCGCTGACTTGGCACGGGGCTCCCGACACGAGAAATAAGAAAGTTAACCACCCCCACTCCTCCCTCTTAATTGTTTTCTATAAACGCTGGACGTCTAAAAGCCCAACAATGATTTGTAATGCGGCATCGCAAAATCATGCGCGTGTCCTGTTCTTAAAATAATGATTATAAAAAATATGGGTTGACGTTATTCGTGAAGAACCGTCGTCTTGTATTCACATGTATTGTGGTTCTTTAAATATTTAGTTTTTTTCACGGAATTCGAAGAAAATAGCTCTTCTTGTTAACCGTTAAAGGCGCTACCCAGAAATGGCCTTGCTCACGCCACTGCTGGCGAAAGATCCTCCACTAAAATGATCCCTCGGGAGAATTTGAGTGGTTGATTTTTTTCTCTGCACAGCCCTCTACAGGCCACGAAGCCTATAGCACCTGTTATTTTTGCGCGAAGTGGTCACCAGCCCATGAATGAACGTATTATAGAACGCGAACGGAATGATAACACAGTGTAACACAATATTTGTTCCTGGGTAATAAGTGTTATTTCCTAATTGCTTAAGCCTAAAAAGTATAGAACATGGCTATTATTCCTCACAAACTTTACTTTTGTGACCAGGACAGTGATATTTTGAAATGTACATATTTTCAATGAGAAAACGGGCAACTTTGTGTCTTGTCGTTCATAAAGTTATTAAAAAAACATGAATCAAAATTAACATGTATTTATACTAAAGTAATACAAAAATTACTACTAAAGATTTAGAAGTGAGTAGTTTTTCGAGATTTACGATTATACTGTAAATCACTTTCACGAATCAGCCCCCAAATGTAG